GTATAATTGTATTAATCAATAGTATTATCTTTCTAATAATGGCATGTTTTGGATTGCCAGCAGTTTCAGTGTTAATGAATATACTATTTTTTGTGGATTGCCATTATTGCCAAAAAATAAGTATTCGTATTAGCAATAGAAATACGAATACTTATTTTTTGTAATTTCCAAATGTCTAGAGGTCAAGCTATTACGCTGGAGAAAGTAATATACCTAACGGTATTATTGTTCATGGCACATGCATACATACAGAAAGAAACACATTTTCAAACCATGTCATAACACGATATCTAATCAACATTGATAACATTAGCTGATTATTTTCCCTCAGTAAAGTTCACGGTAAATAATAGTGGCTTTCCAAAATTATGTAGCACCCGTTATAGTACAAGACCCAAATACCGTCAGACCTTACTTATTTTCTCATGGACAAAATATAAATAATTAATTAGTATTAGTATGTACGATAAACGTATACATACTTGCTAACTTGTGCTGTGGGCCAATTTTCAGGTTAAGGTGGCACAGGCACTGAAGAATTTTACTTACTTTATTTATAGCCTGTAGACTAATTCCTACGTATGTTGTAGAGAATATTGTAAACAATTTGAAATTAATATTGTCAGACTTATTCTGTCAGCAGTTTTTATTGCCAGACACATTTAATGTCGAAAGCAAAAAACACAAACTTACTTTATAATCTGAGACCTAACATCTACCTATGACATTTAGGGGGATATACTACTCGATTATCCATATTTTATCCATGAGAAAATAAGTAAGATCTGTCGGTCTTGGGATCTTACTCTATTAGGTACACCTTCGTTGATTGGATTTTTCATAGATACTTTATATAAGATATTGTTAATTTGGTAAAGTTTTTATAGAAATACACTGTGAAAGGTAGATGTTATGAAAGTAGAACATATATGGTTTCCTTCAAGATCACTGCTAAATTATCGGTTAAAATGTTCGACCAATGATAGCCTTTAATTAATACATCCTCGATTTCCATATATGGCTATCGTTGGTTACAGAAAAAACGAAAACTCTCTCAATTGAGTCATTTCGTTTTTGAAAATTTGAAAAACATAATGAACAGATATTGAGTTCCATTTAAAAATAGGATAGAGAAATAAGTCATGTTTAAAAATAAACAGATCTTATTTGTTGCGACGAAGATAGTATCTGCACTTGTAGTGTGCGTTCCAGTTTCCTCTTAGATTGAACTCGGCGCTTTGTCAAGTGCCATTCCAGCTCGTAAAGTAGTTCTCAACCATTAGACTCTAATGCAAGGATTCTTAAAGTGGGGCCTAGTGGGGTGGATTCAACCCCTCAGAAGTATGTACCATCATAGCATATGTATCAGATGTTCGTTACTAGGTGACATAACCCCTATAATTTAAAAAAAGAATAATACAACTATGAATAAAATAAACCTTAATACCTTACCTTTTAATTTGATTTTGTTTGTCTTTGAAAAAACATTTAACCGGTATCCGTGGATTGTTAATTCATTCGTTCGATCGTTAATTTTGAAAGTAGTTCATGAATGTTTCATAGATTAGGAAATTCTGCTCTTATATATAGGTATTAGCTAACTAACCAAAAAGAAATAGCTACTTGATATTATTCTGAACTTATCAACCAGCTTTATTCGTGATTTAGTCTATGTAGACTGCAGAAACAGTAATTAAAATTTACCTGTGATCCAAAATTGAAATTGTTCTGCTGCCTTTTAAACAAAGAAATAGACAAATCTAAGTTCATTTGTAGCCTACCCTCGTACGCACATCATAAAAGTCAAAGCAACATGCATCATTTACGAAAACGGCAAGTTTTATCCGTTGATATTTTATACTACAGATAAATTGAAGAATATATTCAAAATTATTAACAGTATAATATACCTAAGTTATAACAATATTAAAATCGTTCAAAAGTTCGAAAACATTTTTATAGTTATATTTGTTATATTTTAAGCACTGCTAAATTTTTAAATCTAAATAAAATTTTACTACGATAAATTCCACGCGGTTCAGGCAGCAGACGGGCATCGTTTGCTACCGCGGCCCTGACGGGCGTCTCGAATTTTTCTCTAGACTTTCTTAAGCTGCAAGGCAGCGCCATCTCTTCGCATTGTAGGTAACCCACAATGTCAAATGAACACTACTGGTCCGCGTGGATTTTTTTCTAGTAAAATTTTCTTTAGATTTAAACATTTTTTTATGTTACTACTTTGATGAGTATATTGGAACAGTTAATATCTCGTCAGTATTATCTTTTTCAGAATGCCAGCACGTTTATTTAAACGTTTATAGTAGTTTTACCCACGTCGACTGTAATTTGCGGATTAACCGTTCAAAGTGTTGCTTATCTAACTTTTAATCCATTTAGCGTAGACACCGACTGCAATTACGATATCGTTATCAGATAGTAACAACTGACCTGTTTTGGTTTCAGATAAATCAGTTATTTGCGAAATCCCCTAAGTACCTTATATAGGTGCCATCCATTCAGAAAACAATTCCAAATTTTTTGATTAAAAAAAACAATTGACTTTAAAATAGGAAAGTCATAGTGTAGCTTAATCGAATTTGAGTGCCCGACTAAGGAATAATTTCATCTTACAGAATATCGCATTAAGATACGAGTAAGGGTGTGTCTAGATGACGCACGCCGACCAAGCATACGTCATGCATTTTCTTCTACGCGTACCCCTTACACGAGGTGAAGCGTGGATGCTAGAGATAATGCATTGGTTGCATAAAATTAGGTCTTCAGACACCAATAAATCTCAAATTGCGTTTGTCACGTGGATCTAACGCTATGCGTGGCGTGGGCGAGGCGTATGCGAGGCGTGCCGCGTAGCGTGCGCGTGCTTAAGAGGGCTACTGACATTCCTGCCGGAGGGGCAATCTAGTGTGTAAGAGTGGGGATGACCCTTAATTGTGATGTGTGTAGGCAAGCAGAGGCTGATCTTTTGATATTTTGGCAATACTAGGGCCATTATCAACGCGTGTTTAGCTCAACTTATACCCGAACACTGAATAGCAGGCATGTGTGTAGAGACAAGCCGATATTGCCCCGACCGTCGTGCGTCCTAGATTGGTCCTACGGCAGGGATGTCAGTAGCCCGCTTTAACCGACGGCCGGCACTAATGTTGGCGGAGCTACATATATACAAAAATATGAACGCGCATACTGCTGCGCTGATGAATTGCTACGCGCGTATAGTTACGTTGCGCTGACAGAAACAATCGGTCTGGCTCGTCGTTCAGCGGACCTCAGTTGACCGACGAGCTATTATAATGTATATTGTATGCGTTCAGTGCTCCGCTGACGGAGCGACCGTGTGCGCTCGTGTATATATGAACATGTAAATTGTACACACGTGCGTTTTAGTTCGTCGTCAGCGCATGACTACTCACCAAGAGGAGAAAATTAATTTCCATACACTTTTCCAGCCCTCTTAGTAGTACAACAGCAATGAGGTTCTTCTGTTTCACTTTTAATAATAATAAAGAAAGAAACAAAGAAATTTTTTTATTGTTAGCTCAGCTTACACAGCATGTTTTTTTGCTGCACTGGTATTCTGCCATACCCAGAGCAAAGCACTTTCCGAACAGGTGTACCATAAAATGTATTTTCACAAACGTCGATGGGCACTTACGAGTATGTTCAATCAGCACCGACCGTCGCTGTCGATCAAGCGCTGTTTCCAGCTTTATACTACTTTTTGTTGGTTCTGTATTTCTGTTTATAAAGGTTCCAGGTTGTTCAAGGATAAAGGTCCCACTGGGTAGCGGATATGTGAATTCTTCTGCCATCCTTCAGCTATCTTCGCAATTGAACTCCATGTTAACTGAACATCAGGTGGAGTGGGGTAATTTGCTTCGCCTTGCTTAGAAAGCAATGCAAGTTGTAACACATGATGCGCCACTCGAAACATTCAGATAACTTAATCTTTTACTGTTAAATCACAGCAACATTGTTAGTAATTTTTTGATATTCTCGATAACGGCATAAGTAACACTAGTTTTAATTATCCCGAATCTTCAGATCGTATGTAGTTATAATAGACCTTGAAAACTTTTGATAAAAGTATTTATTTGGTAAGCATTTAAGATATATACCTTTTAACTACTCCATTGTAACTAAAAGTCAAAGTTAAATAAAATTTGGAATTCTAAAAAGTAGGTATTTAATTTGTGCAAGTTACTTAGAAGTCTGCCTGTTTTTATGTAAAAGGGTGAGAATTCAGCTCATATATTTCAGTATTTGGCCCTCATTAAAAACTTTATTAAATTTTATCCTTTATCATCAAATGAACAAAAGCTATGTAGACTTTGAGTAATTAAGATTTACTAGAAATTTTAAAATTTCTCTACGGCAATTTAAAAACTCGTTGGCCAAGACAAAAAAAGTTCCAAGAACAATACAAACAAGAAAATATGTTTGAATTATATACAAACTCCCTGTTTCAATTACAAATAGATCCCGAGGCAATCAAATAAAGCTCATCAATATCGTTCAAAAAAGGTTAAACATGATTGATTAAATAAATTCCTTTCCGCCTATCATGTTGCTAACCAGAAAAAGTAGAACCGTACTTTTACGATTGCGTAGACTGCACAAGTGTCATCTATAGATGGTCACAAAAGCTATCCTTTAGCTTAGCCGGTTTTATATTTAGTGCACCAATGCGCCCGCTCATCCGAAGACGGGTGCACGTTCCGTTTTGATTTGTTGTTTATTTGTTCCAATCGTTGCTTTTAACCCCCGGATTTAAATTTGCAACAATAATTTTATTCTTTTTGTATTTAACAAAAAAGTAGGTAGTGGAATTCAAAGAGTTTCAATAGTGCAAATCATGACGAGATAGTAGAACTAAGTTAAATTTGATAATTTGAAATGAAACATCAAACACGGTCGATAAACGAGCAGCGGATATTATGGAAGCAATAAGCAAACGCGTCTTAATCTTAATATTGGTACAGGGTGCATTTCAAGAACTGAAGCTGTATGGTTCACCGTCGCAGGCAGAGGTGCAATGTGTCAACACGTTTGAGGTAAAATACTTTTTTGTTTTTTTCTTAATAGGTTTGAAAATGGAATTTATCATAATAAAGAATTTATAAAGTAAAAACTCTTTTTCATATTAAGTTTTTTTTTGTTACTCAATCATACTCTTATGTTTCGAAGTTAAAAAAACCCTGCTTTTAGTCAGTTAAACAAAGGACAAGCGTCAAATGAAATTAATAAATAAGTTTTCATATTTTGGCAGGAAATGGGTAAAGGCAGTGGCGGTGACGAGATTGACATTGACAATTTATTGGTGATTAATTTGTTACCTTTTTTTTTGTTCACGCTCAATCTTTGGTTGTGTGCTTCTAACTTAGTTGTGACGTCTTTACTAACATGGGTATTCATATGGTATGGTATTATACTGTGATTCATGTCAATAACTTTGATACTTACATTTACTTCGTTATTTTTTTTCTTAATAATTTTGATCTGTCTACCAAACTAATCTAACAATGAATTAATTGAATTTTCGCACCAACGATGTGCCATAGTATTTCGTATTTTGCGCTACCAAAAGATCCTTTTATTTGAAATTTTGCTCAGTTTATTTCATTGTCTAACTTTTGAAGTGACAATAGATCGCTTTACATCGTAGAATGCGGTAATTCCCATTAACTCCGTGTTCCAGACTTCGAACAATGAGCGCGTTAACCGATCTTCAGTGCTCGTCACAAAGACTCGTAATAATTGTTATTGCTACTATGTAGGTACCTTATCAACAGGATTAAAGCAAAATGGGTCATCAACCTACCCAGTGCATAGACATTTTGAAAAAGTGACAAGGCGATGTTTATGATGACTTTTGACCAAATTAACAATTTACTTATAACTAGTCTTATTAATACTTAATAATATTCAGATGATATTAAATATTTTAATGGTAACTGGTAATGTAGCTGTAGCTAACACAGAAACCACCAGTCCTTGATTATTGTTGTTTCTTATAGCAAACTTAATTTGAAAATTTTTCTCTGTCAAAAAAAGAGGATTTAACAAGAAAAAAATATTAATTTATCAAATAATTGCCATTTGGCGTTAACTTTTATAGTAACATTTTTGGTTGCTACTAATTAATATTTCCTCATTATACTAAACGTTTGGTCAAACAATTGAAAAGTTTAAGTCCGAGATGTTTTGTGTGTATATACAGACACCTTACTCTAGTGACAAAACATTAACGGTCTTACTACACAAAGTTATACACTGTTTAAACCTTGTTTAGGCAAATTTTGTAAGTCAGTTTTTCTTAAACGTTTTAGCGTAACATTTTTGATTGCTACTAATTAATATTTCCTCATTTTAGTGAAGATTGGTTGAACAATTGAAAGTGTAAGTCTCAGATGTTTCGTGTGTATATACAGACACCTTACTCTAGTGACAACACATTAACGGTCTTACTACAAAAAGTTTAACACTGATTAAACATTTTTTCAGCAAATTTTTATTTTCATTTTTAAGTCAGTTTTTCTTAAACACGTGTTGAACGCATGTCTAACTTTTTGTGGTAATATAGCTAAGTTATAAGCAAAGTACCTAGTCATAGACTGATTGATACAAGTCGTTCGCTTGTTGCTCCAACAAATATTGTCTGGATAGCACAGAATATCCAATAGTTGCTACGGCTGATAGTTTAATGTTGGTACACACAAACATGGCATTGCAGGACAGTCAGCAAACAAACTTACTAGTGCAACTCTCGTCTGCAATTGATAGGCTGGGGCTTTTGTACGAGAGAGTTTTACTAATAAATATATTGCTTTTAAATGCAGATATTAAAGAGGAATTCGATGGCACGGGTGGTTAGCGCGTTCGGCTGCGATCATTGAAGTGAAGCAATTTTCGCAGTGGTCGGTCATTGGATGGATGACCAAAAATCTTCTATCTCGAGTTAGTCCGTGCTTCGGAAGGCACGTTAAGCCGATGGTCCCGGCTGCATCTGCAGTCGTTAGCACCCGCGTGGTGGGTCATGGCCCAATCTCCCTATTCCATCCATAGGGAAGGCCTGTGCCCCAGCAGTGGAGACATTCATAGGCTGACGATGAAATGCAGATATTAGTATCAGTTCTTTTTATCCCAGAAATCATCCTTTAAGGGGGAGAAAAAAGATTAAATCGGAAATCAATTGTCCCATGCAGACGAAGTCGCAAGCATCCGCTAGTACCTAGTTGCTAAAACATTCAACTTCAGACACAAACCGCTGATGCGTTTGTGCGACGACGACAGTAGAAAAGAAAGTCGCTTAAAAGCTACTTTAGTAACTTTACAGAAACGAGAATCGGTTTTTTTTATTCACAAAAAACATTTTAAATGAGAAGTAGCGGCATAAAAATAAAAATATATTCTTAAATTAAATTTTCTAAACAACCTCCTATTAAAAAGTTACATAGGTAAATTTTACGAATTAGATGTCGCTTAAGTGAAAATCACTCGGTCCGTCATACATTTTTTGTCAAGCAAACATCAAATCATACGCCAAATAGTATACGACATAAGCGCCATAGGTTCAATTAACACAAAATTCACTTCAGCGTTGTGAACAATAAAAATTTTCAAAATATTAGTTGCTTAAGCGCCAATAATATATTCAAATCTTCACGAAACATAAACAGATCGACAAAGAAAAAAAACTGATTAAAATGATATATATAACTCATTTTCGACCAAATTGGCGTATAAGCCATTTTGCCTTTCCACTGTCGCTATACCCGGTGCTTAAAGGTGACAGCTCATTAGACGCAACCGGTACCGACCAGCACCGAATCAACTCGTGCAGTTGATATTCTTTGTGTGGATTTCTATGGGTCAATACTACGTTCACTATATCAACTCCATACCGTCAACGGATCGTCTCGCTCGCAAGCTGTCCGCGCGCATGCGACGAGTGGACAATTCGATGACCTGCGCTGCTCTCACGGTTGCCGTGTGTAGGCCACTAGCTGTAAACGCGCTGCTCCTGAGTCGACCGCACGCTACCTGCGAGATGACAACGCATTTCATTTTCTTCATAAAGCTGGCAGTTTCTTCATAGGTGTCAACCTATGAGTGCCAATTGACGGTTTGTAAAATTAAACATTGTGAAAACAGACATGTAAATCTAGTGACTATCTCTAACTGTACTTAATTTTCACTGACGACGCGGTGTCAACTATGGGCGGCACGACTACTTTCATCCGTCCATCACCTGACGATCACCAGTTGACAACGAGGCGTCCACCCGTAGCGCACCTGACGTTAGCTAGTTCACAACGCGGCGTCTACCGCAGTTTGGTCGTTGACGTTGACCACTAGTCGAACGCCGCGTGACGAGGCGATGCCGGTTGGCTCTTATGAGCTGTGACCTTTAGCCTTCAGATGTATACTCACCCTCAGGCCCTTTAACAGTATTTATAAGATAGCTATGTCTCACTTCAACAATCTCATTTGCATAGCGTAAAGTTATATAGTGGCCCCGGGCTGATCACGGAATAAAAATAAACAAACCGACAAAATATGTATTGAGTATGATACTTTATGGATTATATACCTTTGAGGTAGTTAAAGTCATAGCTATTTGTTATTGTCAATACAAAAAGATTAATTATTTAGGTTACTCTAAACAGGTGTTCTTTTCTCTTTCCTATTTCGATAGAGACGCAAACTAAGGGTACCCATACATTGTTTAACAAAAATGAAAAATATCACTTTCTTTAGAAATGCTATTTATTTTCCATAAATATGCAACACCCCTTCATTTTACAAATAAATAATATAACAATTTAAATTAATTTGACAGAAGAGAAATAATAGTAGTTTACAGATAGAGAAGTTTTTGTAAGTTTCCATATTGCATTATTTTAATCACTCCCGACATCATAATAGATATTTAACTTCATCATGGCAGACATCTAAAAAGGTCCACTTCAAATTAAATAAAAATTTCTATCTTAATCTCATTTTTAATTCTAAATGATGAATCCAACAATGGATGTAACAAAATCAGCTCAAACCAAAACCACGGCCTTACTCACAAGTTCACTTATAATGTAGGTACCTAAGTTTACAAAGCCCGTTAGCCCTCAAGTAACTGAAAAACACAAACTTTTATCACATCTTTAAACACGGAACAGTCGTGGTTTTATGAAATACTAGCTGTACCGCGCGGTGTCACCCGCGGTTTATCACGGATATTTTCACGCAGTAAAACGCAGCCTATGTTTTAATTCAGGGTGTCAGCTAACTCCATACTAAATTTTATTAAAATCGCTACAACCGTTTAGACTTGAAGAAGTAACAAACATACACACTCACAAACTTTCGCCTTTATAATATTAGTGTGGTGATAAATCGAATTTCTTGAAAATCATAGGGATTTAAGAAAACGCGGATAATTAGACAATCGTGAGGATATTTATCAGTCTTCCTTAAAAAAGATAACAATTTTGCGAAAACATAAGTCGCCGCAGTAAGATAATATATATTCTTGGGTTTCCACAAGGTCAGATTAGGGTTGTGAAACGAAAAAAAAATCTTTAATAGTAAGATTGAGCAATATCATCGCCATTGTCTAATTATCCTTGTTTTCGCAAAATCCAAAAGAAATTATCATGTTCTACACAAATAAACCATGCTTGTGACGGAACCGTTTCAATATTCTAAAACTTGGTTGTTGATACTTAATTATTCTGTTATGTTATCAGTTATCAGTAGCGTCGCTTCGCTTCTAAACAATGGTGAAAACCTCATGAAAATATATTCAATAGTTTTTTTTTAGTACTACCAGCCGTTCTTCGTCCGCGTTTACTTTAGTTTTTTTGGAAATCCCTCAACTTCTCACCGAGACAAAAAGTATTCTATGTCCTAATCCAGGTTTTAAACTATATGCGTACCAAATTTCAACCAAATCCGTTTAGTAGTTTTTGCGTGATTGAGTAATAAACATTTTTTTTTGTTTAGAGATTTTTGGACCAAAATGTCCAGCCCCATCGGAACCTGACCATACAATTTTCTTAAAATTATTTAATTACTTAACTATTACATTACATTTTTGCTGCCATATTGCAAAGCACACCAGCCTCCTCCGATAGGGGGTTGGCTAGGATGCCCGGCAATATGACAGTTTCAAACATTCAAACATAGAAACTTTCCCATTTATAATATTAGTAGGATAGAGACAGACTTGATGTGGGCCTTATTGTATAATTTGCAATGATTATGTCTTAGAATAATTGTTAATTGGTACAAGCTCCGATTAGTTTTGGACCAAATAATAGTACCTACTAAGATATCAAAAAAGATATTATTATTTAAAAATAAGTTTTCCAGCGCCTCCCTATTTTGCAATAGCAATTCCGGTTTTATAAAATATATTACCTGAGATATGACATTATAAAACTGTGTCGGTTTCACACAGTTGACTTGCCCTTTTGTTGCTTTAAAGTTGTTAGAAAATTCCCAATACCGGTTTTCATTTGTTCGTTTCGTAAATGGAAACTCGTTTTATTGCCAATCCAATTTCAACAAATTTCAATAACAGACATTCCAGACCGTAGTATCTGAAATATATATGTTATAAAAATACTAGTATGTGCAGAATGTGTTTGATGTTTTTATATTTTTGAGTATAGCTCCGATATTGGAACAGTAAATAATGAAGTTAGTAGAGGTTGCCCCATTTAAAATATAACGTTATATACCTACGTACATTCTAAAAGTTGTTTAATATATTATTCTGTTGAGAGATATTTTTTAAAGCTCTCTATATCAACAAGAAAGACCAATCCAGTTGTATGAGTATTAAACTGCGTAAAGTATACCTGCGCTAATCATACTAATATTATAAAGGCGAAAGTTTGTGAGTGTGTGTTTGTTACTCCTTCACGTCCAAGCGACTGGAGCGATTTTAATAAAATTTGGTATGGCGTTAGCTGACACTCTGGAAATGTGTTATACATTATTGCGGGAAAATATCCCTAGTAAACCGCGGGTAACACCGCGGAGCACCGCTAGTTACGAATATATGTAAACCGTACGAATTTAAACTTGCGCCTCGTTCTCGGCGCTTACTCTAACCCACTTATTAATAAACGAAGAATAAGCTTGGATTAATTACTCCATGTTTTGTCCTCTGTTCATTGAATGACAAATGGCATTTGAGTGATATGAACAAACATGGTGTAACTAGTCTAAGCTTATTCCTCGTTTATTAATGTGGAGCTTAGAAGATATATTACAAGAGTTGTAATATTTACTCTAAAGCAAGCCATACATGCTAGGATATACCTGACAGGTTTACCTGTACAGTTTAACTGCACAGTTGAGTTTAGTAGAGACCACACACTTGAGTTTAGTAGAGACCATACACGTACCTAGTGGTAAACCTGCACAAACTTTCAGCTGAAACCATGACCCCGATCGCTCTAACAATCACCGGACAACTGACGCCTGCGCAGACGACCGCCACACACGCTCAGTTTTATCTGCACAGTTAAACTGCACAAGTAGAAAATATAAAAATTTCATATCTTTTCGAGTTGCCTGTACAGGCGTGAAAACCTGCGCAGTTATGTGACATACACGCTCCGGTTTACCTGTACAGTTAAACTGTACAGGTAAACCTGTCAAATAAATTCTAGCGTGAATGGCTTGCTTAAGGTTGTCCCTTTATATTCTAATAGATTTATGGATAAAATTATTACATGAAAATAACTTATTGTACATCTACATAATCTCAAACAACACTACTCAAGTTTGATTAGAAATCGGATAATAACTAGGCAAATTTATGTATTAATCTTACACGTGTACTATATTTAATAATAAAGTTGTGATAGTTAAAATAATATATTATGATTATTGATGACAGGGTTGATTATTTCATAATCCTCTTCAAAACTATATAATTAATTATTAAAAAATAAGGTGATTATAATATAGTATTATGTGATATTATCACCATAATAACCAAATAAATTATGCATTATTAATAATGGTTTGATAGCTTACATAAATATATTTTTTTTAAGGGAAATACATCTAACACATCTTATTTTCTAAATAACCTAAAATAATAATGTTCGCTAATCTCTCTTCCTATTTTCAAATAACAAAAAACTAACTTTGTGTTATAATATCATTCTATTATTAACTCGAGAATGGTTAAAATTAGTCTCGAAAGCCAGTAATAATGTAAAAATTATAAAATATTTTTTTACATTGTAGCTGCTGCAGTAATATTCTGTAAAAACAAACTCACTTTTCACCGCGGAATTCGCCGGTGTGATATGAAATTTATATAAAATTCTAGTTGTAATTTTAAATTACACCGCGGATTCAGAGGAGAAAGGTGAGGTTTTTTCTTACAGAATAGCGCTGTATTTGATTATGGGCTTTGGGGGATGTCGTAACCGCTTCAATCACGAATCTAGATGCACAGGTTTCCAAGTGTGATTGTTGATTTTGTTTGTGTAAATGCAATTCGTTTTATGAAATATAAAATTCCAAGTATATGAGACATAAATACAAGGAAATACCCTATAATTCGCATCGCAAACACAATCTACCCTAAGGACTCGTAATTGGTGCTCTTTATCCTTGAGTGCAAATAATTGAAACGGAACCGAATTTTTTTTTTCTTTACTTCGAGCCTTATCTCCTTAATATATTGTTAATACAGAAAGTTGAATTGTAATGAGTTTCCGTACCGTTTCCGAATATAAATGGGTTGTCTAAAGCCAAATTTCATGTTGGGCTTAAGTGTAGAGACCTACTGTTTGGTTGTTGGCGACCAACATTGACCAGCTAATGTCTTTGTCAACCTCAAATAGTGCCACGATCTTGATGACGCGCCCAACATAATCGTGCAGCACCTTGGCCGAATATGTACTCGTAATAATTACTTAATTAGGTACGTTACCATACGCCTTACATATGGCGCTTCTAGTGCCATAACACACGAGCCGCGAACCGTGGCAGATGGCGGTTGCACGAATGTTATTTTTTAAGGCTCACCAACGCGGTTATGGGGATGCTAGTGTGTTGTCGTATCTATATGGCTTAAGATTCCCAACTTAGTGGTTTTCCGCCAATTTAGGGGGTAATTAAGTAGACTGGTTTTTAAGGATATTTTCAGGGGTTTTTATTACTCTCCATATTATTTTTGAAGTGAAAACTTCTTAAGTATCGTTGCTTGTGACTTAATATTCAATGAAACGAAAAAGCAAGCTATTCGTAATTTTTTCACTCTAGGTAATGATAGCACTTCATATGGCCACTCCTATCTGCTATCTGTCATTTTGACTGCAAGTTGTCCTTAACTTACTTTAAGGGAAATAAAGGAGAAACTGTTGTCAAGTTAACAAATAGCAAACAGGAGCAGCCATGCAAACCAAGTGCTAGCATTAGAGACAGATAGCCGAACGGAAACAGTCTTGCGATCGTGCGTGCTATGTCCGACGAACGATCACGACAGCACGGCAACACTCCTTTTTTCACAAAGAACTTTTGTAGAACGTAATAAAACTATATAACTTTAACTATATATTTCATTAAAAACTATATTCACAAAAATAGAATCATAATTGGGAAATAATTACTTGTTGTAAACAGCAAATAAAATATTATTTATTTTGGAAACAATTTAAAGAATGATTTGTTTAGGGGGATTTCTTAGTAAATCGTGCGAATTTTGGGGTTTTTGACATAAGCTTTAGGGATATATATTTCTGAGAGTTGGTAATACTGATATGCCTATAAAAATTAACATCCGCGCGACCGCCATCCGCCTCGGTTAGCGGCTCGTACGTTATGCTGCTTAGACTATGAACTCATTGTCTTGTCAAAATAACAGGTTGATCAAGAAGAAGGGGATGCGGAGGGATCAGGCCGCTATGGAACAATGCCTCCACCTTTCCTGCCACCACCACCAGATGGTAAAGTATTAAATAGCAACTTTTCTTTATAATATTTTCACTCATAATCTAAAACGCATCTTTTTCAACTAATTTTGATAGTTGTACAAAACGATAGAAGGCAGAAATTACAGAATTTTCATAATTGTGGTTTGCTTGTGCTTGATTGTGCATAAGATCAAGTAACAAAACATAACAATTTAAGAATTTGTAAGTAGGTAAGTAAGTTCTTATGTTTTCACACACACCACTCATAAGCATGCTGTTGAGCATGTCATGGAGGCACATTTATATAAATTTTAAAAACTTATTGTTACCGATGACAACGAATAAATGATTTGATTGATTGATAAAATAAATACATGAGGAAAACGGTATAATTACGCATCTGGTCAAACTACTTTTTTTTACAGTCCGGAGGTTTCGGGCCCGTTTGAATTTGAATCTCAAATAATTTTCAAACAAAACTCCCTAAAACAGTGTAAAAATTACTAAATTTATAAATTAAAAACCATGCCCAAAGCTCACTGGAGGAATGTCATTCAGTTTTATACGGCTCCTGTAAAATTTAATTTTATGTAATTATACCGTTTTGTTCGCCAGCTCCTCTTAATAGAGATGACAAAATGCTATCGAAGAGTTACTCGAGATAAAACGTGCAAGTTACATTGCAAAGTCTGTGTTATTCTTGTGTTCCTATAATACGCGAGTTACCTGGGAATACCTATCTTCGCATAGAGGGGTAATTTATTAGACCGTCTATTATCATTATGTATATTATAATTATAAAGGAAATAGATCAAAATGTCCTACCTTTATGTATATATAATAAGGCCTAATTTGCTTTTAAATTAGCGTGGGTTACGCTTTTGTTTTGACACTTCATAATTAGTTTCAAGAAGCGTTCATAATGTCTTCTTAATTGAAGATACTAGAGAGGTAAACTTTGAGGTTCCGAAACTGTTTTTAGAAAACACTCTTTTAATAACATCTTGAATTTATTCGTGGAACTACTCATAGGGTATATCATTATTACAGGGGATTGCAGTACAAATAGTGTATGCGACTGTCATATAAGTATAGCATAAAGTCTGTTTATAGCATAAAGCGAAGCGGAATACGATTACAAAACAAATTAAAACATTTCACTCAAAGGAACAGTTTAAATTAAAGAAAGTAGCTTGGTAACAAATAAATATTTTGAAAAACTTTTGAAAACAAAACCCGATCGACAGAAAATTGTATGGGAAGCGCGTGGAAGTTAGTTTAACTACGAATGCCTGCGCCCGTGGATTGTGAGAGATATAGTGTAAAATTAAATTGTGGGAGTATGGTATTTTATGATTTGATTTGGTAAGTTATAATAGAATGTGCAAATAACCAAAAAACCTGGACATGAAAATTTAAAATTTTGAAAACATATTCCATTTTACCCATCTAAACGTCTTTTTTTTATCTTTCCCGAGTTTACCGTAACGTAATTAAAATAGATTACAGACATGACGCATTGTGTAGACGCTGCTTTATAGTAAATTTTATGCAGAATCCAAATGTATATAGTTTGTGTAGGGTATTCTTACGAAATAAAAGAGAAATCGGCAAAACAATGCAATCGTTTCCACCCCGCGGGAGGTCTCGTAAGGGTGGTGTCGCAAGTATTTGTGAACGGCGCGTGCACTTGGCCGACCGAGAGGTTAAAAAATAAAAGTGTACTATAACGACTCAAAAGTTATTTTTCAAAATAAAGCGTACGGTAAAATTTTACGGGGCGGGGTCGGACTACTTGTGCTATTTCTAAATACAATAATGTTGGCTGTAAACTGTCTATATATTATACGCATTGCTCGAATGTAATTTATAACTTAGCTTATTTGTATTAACTATTGTTATGTACAATGTTGTATCCCTAGAGTCTAGTCAATGTTTACTTTATACAAAGCATTCGAAACACGGTACTATGTTTTTACCGTGTTTCAAATGCATTTTCTAAAGATAGCTTTTTTTTCAGGATATCCACTGCGTTTTAGAGGCGGTGAAAAAGGAGACAGAGGACCAAGGGTAATATTTATTTATTGTTTTTTAAGCATGTTTCAAAATAATCGTGTTAATAGGTACGAAAGTATACAATATATAAGACTAGCAAACCAGTGAACCAAATGTTCACCAAAACCTGATTTCTCGAAAACCGGAAGTGCTACGTTACTCAAATCCGGTTTGTAGTCTTATCAGACTATTCTTAACTTATAACTTAAATATTCTCTTTATCTATCTCTTACGGTTTGGCCGCTGTAACAGCACCACAGAGAGACGGACGGACTTGTCTAATAGATAAGAGATATAAGAGTATACAAGTATATAAGAGTACTTGAACATTTAAATCGAAAATCAACAATCAGACTTCATTATTTATAAGTGTGTTGTCCGTTTTGTTCTCTTTTAGGGTTCCAGGTAACCAAAGTGTAAAAAACGGGTCCCTATGACTCCACTATCCGTCTGTCACCAGGCTGTATCACATGAATCCTGAAAGCCAGACAGTATTTTTTTTACAGGTGATGTATTTCTGTTGCCGATATAAACAGAAACTGAAACAAAACTGAAAGCGGAAAACAGAACAAAATAAATATTTATGGGCGCCTATACAACAGACGTAATGTTTTGCAGTTTTTGCTCGATATTTTAATAATTAATGTCTAAAGTTGTACAAACAATGGTATGGAACCCTTCGTGCGCAAGTCCAACTTGCACTTGGTCAGTTTTTTATGTTAATTCAGACCCAAATAATTAGTCTTTATAAATCTGAGATTCAATAAATGAAACTGCCTTCATCAATTTGTTTAGGACGCTCTGCTCCTAATATTTACATTTTCAATAAAACCAACTCTTTTTTCAAACATATATTTTAAAAATAAATGAAAATATTATTTGATTATAAATATTATTATTTTTATATTGTTTTCTACATTTGAATTGCAAAAAGGTCATTAATCGCCATTGGTTGTTTGCTCCCTTTCCGTACTAATTCCCATGTAATCACAATCGAGAACAAAAGTATGATCGGTAACGCATAACTCGCAGTTTTCGCACAAAGGGCACTCGAGTATTGTTCACCCATTCGATTTATTGGCATATCGGCCGCCCCTAATGTTTTTCACATTATCCGATACGATAACTATGATATTAAATAAATAAAAGACTGTAGGCTTAATCTGTTGGCATTCTCTACCTTTACTAAATTATATTGTAGGTTTCGGTGTAGCAGGTAATCCTTTAAACCACTTATGTGATTACAAAATATCTTTCATCGATATTTATAAGGGACTATCAAACAGATTAAATATATTTCTTTTATTCTTTATGCACAAATGTTCAATGGCGGACTTAATGCGTAGGCATTCTCTACCAGTTAACCATAGGATGTTGTGGAGATTATTAGTGGTAGGGTGCACAACTGAGGTGGAAATCACATTGAAAGAAAAAATTATAAAAAATAATAAATATAAATAATAATATATAAACATACACATACATAAGTTAATGTATTTAAATAAATACACAAATACATACATACTTCCAAAATAAATACAAAATAATGACGACAAAGCCTGTTTTAATAAAAAGCTTCGCAGTTTGGTTTTAAAAGTGATTACTGGGGGACATTCTGATATCTAGCGGGAGATCATTCCACAAAAATATCGTTTTTACGAAGAAGGAAGAGTGACTAATATCGGAGCAGTATGATGAAACGATAAGTAAACGATTAGAAGAAGATCGAAAATTTTTACTATGAGAGGTACATAAGTACTGAAATTGAGAAGTGAAATAAGGGGGAGCATTTGGAAAATCCAGCAAAGAGAACAGGGTGGTCAGAGCCCGCATACTTCTGCGCTGCCTAATGGGCATCCATTTTAAGAGAGATTGATATGCGGACACATGGTCATATTTTCTCAGATTGAAAACGAATCGAATGCAGTTATTCTGAAGGCGATCAAGTTTGTTCAGTAGATATGCATTCAGGTCGAGATAGCACAGATCACCATAGTCGTTTATGGGAAATATTAAGGTTTGCACAAGCATTGCCTTGATATTGACTGGCAAAAAATATTTTATTCGATAGAGGGCACGCAGGGTTCTCATTACTTTTTTACAGACACTACTAACTTGGTCCTGCCATTTAAAACTCGAGTCGATATACAAGCCAATTGATCGATATACAAAGTTGAAAAAAGAAGAGGAGAATATAGTTTATCACAAAATGAAAAGATCCCGTATAGAACTGATTTCGCTATTTTGAGCTCGTGATACCTATACATTCAAAATAACTGAAAAGGTTTATGACAAAACTTCTTTTTGCACGTACTTCTTCAATTCAATGTAAAAGCGCGTTTTGTATGCATTGTTTCGTAGTTCACGGTTAAGTATGTCGAATATATAAACACTTAGTTACATTTTTGTATTCGTTACAATAATATAACAAATTATAATCTTAGAGTAGAAATATTTTATTTTTTTAAGCATTTAACTACCAGCAGTTAAATGCTAAAAATAAAAAAAAAGTTTAAATCTAAAGAAAATTTTACTACAAAAATATTCACGTGAACCAGGCAGCAAACCTGACTCGAATCCGCTTCCTCCTCTATCCGGATGGATGCACTGGCCATTATGCTACTGAGGCCCCAACGGCCGTGTCGAATTCTTTCTAGTATTTCTTAGGCTGCAAGGCAGCGCCATCTTTTCGCATTGTAAGTAATCGACAATGTCAAATGTAAATTGTCAATTTTAGTTATATTTTTATTTTTTAAAGCATGTAACTGCTAGTCCGTTAAGGCCGCGCTAGCATAAAGGTCAGTGCATCGTCGGGTTTTTTTAGTAACATTTTCCTTTAGATTTAAACCTAAGAGTATACTTTAGCTACGCTTATTACTGTCAGTGGTGTGTGTTCCTGAATTATGTAAAGTTTTCTACGGGGTAGAGTATGTGGTTAGGGTAAGCAACATAAATGAGTGATGCTTTGGTATCGTAGGCTTCTAATCGCTAAACTAAAGTATTCACTTACTAACTTTGGCACTTTAAAGCGCATTATAAAGGATGATGTTTAAGATATAATTTCACTTCTTAATTCAGTCATCCTTCTTCAGTGATCGAATAATTTAACTATAAAAACATTCATTAAAACTTTACTTAAACATTTTTGTAATCGCATAGTGTAAAAGGATGCGGTTGATATCGTGAAACAGAGCTATTACAGTACTCTTAACACAGCAATGATAGTGGCACTCGGGCACTTCCAGACTGACTGCGAGGAATTAATTTCTAGCTAATCTTACGGCTGTGATAAGACTCGAAAATAGTAAAGTTTCAAATACAGACATCTCGCTACATTAGTTGATGTACTCGTACTTCAGTTAGTGTTTGTCGTGCTATTTTAAAATTCTTTAACAACAAACACTGAGTCAATTGGGAAATTACAATAAACAATTTGGTAACATTATTATAAAATGAGTTTATGCCATCTTTGAAATGGGCCGAAACCAACGATATTATTGGTCGAAACATGAAAATGTTTTTTTTTACACACACGAGTTGTATTAATGGTGGCCGTATTCAAACAATTACATTCCTGTCATGCTGAGTATTATAAAGCTTTTAACAGTGTTTGCCGATAATGGCGACCTCTGGACGGTATGCGCTCTCAGAGCATAGCACCTGCATCGTAGAATGACGTTTTGATTAAGCTCTCGGCTTTGTCGAAAACTGCATGTTCTTTTATATTTTAATATAAATTGAATCGATTCAATTCGACATGAATTTCGGATTTTATATTCCACAAAATAAATGATAACACTGCTTTAAAATGGTTCAATGTTCTGGATATTCGATATTACAGATGATTTGATAGAGTATATCTACCCAAATTTAAAAAAATCTTTTCATTATTACGTGTGTTATTTTTCAACATGTAACGCATGGATAAATTTTAAAAAATCCTTTCTTAGTAGCTCATGTTTAGCCGATGCGTATGATTAATTAGTAGGAGAGCTACTGAACCCTCCGACTAACGGTCTGTCTGTAAGGCTAGAAATTCTTATGGTGATGAGTCATAGCATGCTTAGTACGGTAAGCATCGCCTGGTACTCCACATCCCTGTACGTCATCAACCCCTATATTTTTGAAATTGTCAAAAAAATATAAAAATAAAATTGTTGCTGTAAGCTTGAAATTTTTAGGCAATTTAGTTTATTCATTTGAAAGTTTTTAAAAAAATGCCAGGCGTTTACGATGAGCACAACTACCCGCCAGGTGAACCGAAAGGTGTGTAATATATGCATTGAAATAAACTTTATTCTGTAAAGTTGAAATTTATATATGTGTTTGTTTAAGCCATTTAAAGTAAGTAGGTAAAATGCCAGGCGGTTCTGGCTAGCACTAGCTAGGAAAGATGCTGCGGCAGTGCGAGTAAGAGCCGTAATATGAAAACTTACAGTATATTATTGATGCATATTAAATGATGTGAAAATGAAAGTTGTGGGTAAAATATTTTTCATTATTATAAGTTTTTAAATTTATTAATAAATCTTCATCATCATAATGTGATTCTTATTTGTTGATTTCATCATCTAAAATACATCTCTGACCTTGCGTTCAATTATATAGAATTCTATATATTTTTATGAAATGTGTATTACCTTTAATGTATTCTTCAGCGTCACTTCACTCATTCTCAGCAGTTTATTCTTTTTAGCGCATTTAAATAAAAGGTGTTTTATAAAAAAGATTTTACTTTAAATTTATTTTTTACTTATAATTTTTATTATTTTTAAAGCATGTAACTGCTTGATGTTTAAATCTAAAGAAAATATAACTAGAAAAAATTCCACGCGGACCAGGCAGCAGACGGGACTCGAACCCGCACCCTTCGCAATCCGGGCGAATGCACTGACCAATTATGCTACCGCGGCCCTCACGGACCGCGTCGAAATTCTTTCTAGCTATTCTTAAGCTGCAAGGCAGCGCCATCTCTTCGCATTATAGGTAAACCCACAATGTCAAATGAATACTTTTACAAGTATTAAACATTTGAAAGAAGAAATAGCAATTATAGTTATAATTTTTATTATTTTTAAAGCATGTAACTGCTTGATGTTTAAATCTAAAGAAAATATAACTAGAAAAAATTCCACGCGGACCAGGCAGCAGACGGGACTCGAACCCGCACCCTTCGCAATCCGGGCGAATGCACTGACCAATTATGCTACCGCAGCCCTCACGGACCGCGTCGAAATTCTTTCTAGCTATTCTTAAGCTGCAAGGCAGCGCCATCTCTTCGCATTATAGGTAAACCCACAATGTCAAATGAATACTTTTACAAGTATTAAACATTTGAAAGAAGAAATAGCAATTATAGTTATAATTTTTATTATTTTTAAAGCATGTAACTGCTTGATGTTTAAATCTAAAGAAAATATAACTAGACAAAATTCCACGCGGACCAGGCAGCAGACGGGACTCGAACCCGCACCCTTCGCAATCCGGGCGAATGCACTGACCAATTATGCTACCGCGGCCCTCACGGACCGCGTCGAAATTCTTTCTAGCTATTCTTAAGCTGCAAGGCAGCGCCATCTCTTCGCATTATAGGTAAACCCACAATGTCAAATGAATACTTTTACAAGTATTAAACATTTGAAAGAAGAAATAGCAATTATAGTTATAATTTTTATTATTTTTAAAGCATGTAACTGCTTGATGTTTAAATCTAAAGAAAATATAACTAGAAAAAATTCCACGCGGACCAGGCAGCAGACGGGACTCGAACCCGCACCCTTCGCAATCCGGGCGAATGCACTGACCAATTATGCTACCGCGGCCCTCACGGACCGCGTCGAAATTCTTTCTAGCTATTCTTATAATAATAATAAAAATTATAACTATAATTGCTATTTCTTCTTTCAAATGTTTAATACTTGTAAAAGTATTCATTTGACATTGTGGGTTTACCTATAATGCGAAGAGATGGCGCTGCCTTGCAGCTTAAGAATAGCTAGAAAGAATTTCGACGCGGTCCGTGAGGGCCGCGGTAGCATAATTGGTCAGTGCATTCGCCCGGATTGCGAAGGGTGCGGGTTCGAGTCCCGTCTGCTGCCTGGTCCGCGTGGAATTTTTTCTAGTTATATTTTCTTTAGATTTAAACATCAAGCAGTTACATGCTTTAAAAATAATAAAAATTATAACTATAATTGCTATTTCTTCTTTCAAATGTTTAATACTTGTAAAAGTATTCATTTGACATTGTGGGTTTACCTATAATGCGAAGAGATGGCGCTGCCTTGCAGCTTAAGAATAGCTAGAAAGAATTTCGACGCGGTCCGTGAGGGCCGCGGTAGCATAATTGGTCAGTGCATTCGCCCGGATTGCGAAGGGTGCGGGTTCGAGTCCCGTCTGCTGCCTGGTCCGCGTGGAATTTTTTCTAGTTATATTTTCTTTATTTTTTACTTTTAATTATCGCAAGATGATGATGAAGATTTATTAAATAATTTAAAGACTAATAATAAGAAAAAATATTAACCCACAACTTTCATTTTCACATCATTTAATTTGCATTAATAATATACCGTAAGTTTTCATACTACGACTCTTACTCGCACTGCCGCAGCATCTTTCCCCACGCCTGACAAGGACTTGTGCTAGCCAGAACCGCCTAGCATTCTACCTACTTACTTTAAATCGCTTAAACAAACACATATATAAATTTTAACTTTACAGAATAAAGTTTATTTCAATGTATATATTACACACCTTTCGGTTCACCTGGCGGGTACTTGTGCTCATCGTAAAAGCCGGGCAATTTATTTTAAACTTAAAAATGAATAAACTGATTTGTATAAAAAATTCAAGCTTACAGCAACAAGTGTTTTTTAATATTTTTTTGACAAATTCAAAAATATAGCGCTTGATGACGTGCAGGGCTGAGGAGTGCCAGGCGATGCTTACCGTTCTAAGCATGCTGTGAGTCATCACCATAAGAATTTCTAGCCTTACAGACAGACTGTTACTCGGAGGGTTCTGTAGCTCTTGGTCTAAATCAGTTTGTTCTTATTATATAAATTTGACCTCTCGTATGTGACGCATGTCAAGTGAACCAATATGTCTGATGGCTGAATCACCACCTCATATACAAAGAATTAATAGATTTTTGTCAAACTTCTTTGGTCCCTAACACTATAATATATTATGTTCTTTATGTTATTAATGGGATTGCTACCAAATACATTGTTCTTTAGGAGTCCCTAATATTTTGGGCACTGTTGCAAGCGACATGATCACGGAGATACGTGGTAAACCCCGTAAATAATAATAATTACTATGAAGATTTAATGGTTAAAATTTTTATGATAACTCATGATCTGTTAACAGGGCCCACCGGGAGAGACAGTGCGAGGCCCGCCGGGTCCCCCAGGGCCACCCGGCCCACCCGGGCTCCCTGGAATATCTGCGAACACTGAAATATCTGGATCTGGAGATGACGTGAGTTATCGGAATGAATAAAACGTCCCGATTTATTGTAGGATTTCTTTTATTTTAGTTCAACTTTAGAGGATTATCTATAAAGTAATATTTTATTTAATTATAAGGCTTTTGAAAGGGTTTGATTGTTTTTACTTTGAAGGTTTTTTTCTTTCCGTTTTGCAATACACATATTAACAGGTGAATGTATGCAATAGGTACAAAGTCATGGCCAAATAAAAAAATAAACTGGTTTAAATGTATGTTTTTTGGAGGCAGTGTAGTTTTAATTTTTATTTCGTCCTTTATATATAGTGTATGGATTATACTCAGCATGGATGTATTTAAAATTATTCATCAACTTAAATATCCTAGGAACGAAACTTTAATTTATTTTTAGGAAAGTCCAAATTTAGTCTGTTTGTTTCAACTAAAATATATAAATAAACACTATTCTAAAGTCACATGTAATTTAACGTAGTTAGAAAAAGTAAGAGTTTAATGCATACAATTATCAATTTAGCAGCATCAGGCAGGTAGAACAGACTCGCAGGTTTCTGCAAAATCTGTCTCAAAGTACTCACATTTAACCTACAGCCATGACTTACCTCCCTAATTAAAATTAGAGATACTAGAAGTTATTTTCTTTCCACATTTAAAAAAAAGTGGAAGCCACTGGGTCAATTAGGACAGATCTACCTGTCTTTAGATAAGTTATTTCTGCACCGATCTGTACCAACTCGTACAGGAATACCGGAAATTTGTTTGCTATACCTTTATGTAAATATATTTGTAAACGCTGTATATTTTCAAATAAATAAAAATAAAAATCTACAGCTACGTCTAATTAAAAGTACCGTAGTTAAAAGTAAAAGAGAGTTGAATGCAAACAATAATCAATTAGCAGCATTAGGTAGGTCGGACAGACCCGCATGCTCTGGCAAAGTCTGGACCGCAGGACTCTCATTTAACCTGCGGCCATCACCTGCCTCCCTACTAAACAAGCATACCCCTTTTCGGGTAGGGTCCAAGTAATGAGTTATATGCGATTTTTAAGCTTCATTTGTTTAATTCAATGAACTCTGTAGAGTTTTATGTAAAACAATAATCAGCAGCAATAGGTAGGTAGAATAGACCCGCATGCTCTGGTAAAGTCGAGCCACAGGTTGTCCTGCGGGCTCTGATTTAAACTGCGGCCGGCCCTGCCTCCCTACGAAACAAGCGTGGGGTATGTTTGTTTTTTGGGTAAGGTCCAAGTAATATTTTATTTGCGAGTCTTTTAATTTATTTAATAAGATGAAAAAATGAATTACAAAAAGATAAAATATTGGAGATAATGCGGTGAAATTTTTTTTGGTGATAGGTAACATTAGGAATAACCAGGAAATGAACCAGGTTTAGAAATAATGTATGTATTTTCTATTAATTTAAATAATAAACTCAGTTAAATCACTCGGCACGAAACTTTGTATTGGTGTAAAGTAATATAATGGAACTTAAATCATTTTATACCACACTGAATTGACCTCAGACTAACAAGTGTAAAGTGATACATTTTATGTTATTTTTTTTGTTTCTTCAATGTTATAAAAACTTGTAAAACAAACATTACTAATTCATGTCTGAGGAATCATTATTTCCGGTTAATTTAGGGCTAATCGTCTAAATATTGTCACTGATTTCTGATATCGATTTCGATATACACCAATAATGTGGTAAAAAAATGTGTAAACTGATCTAATGGACTTTTTTAACGTTCTAAGTATTCTAACAATTATATATAAAGTGATATAAGTGGATTCCAAACGAAATTAACTAGAATTTGTCACTGAAATCTAACTATTTACTCCTAAGATGTTTTCAGTGATCTGAAATTTCCAATTTTTCAATGTTTACACTTATACAAGCCTAATTTGGCTAATGATATAAATCTAAATGGATCAATATACACAAAATAATTACAATTTTGTTTTTCACCTTTTGTGCTGTAAATTAAGTTAAATTATTTTCACCAACCTATAAAAACATAGTTTTTTGTGTATATGAAAAGTAAATTTCTTTTATTATTAAACACAAATTCAATTTGAACAAATTCTTTCGTGTAAAAAGTAGTTACGAGTTACACGAATTATACCTTTTATCACAATGAAAAACATCCCCGTTCACTTTGTTAAAAGTAGACATGTATCAATAAACACGAAAAAAATCTCAAGATGGGTTCACAAAGCCTTACTTATATCAAAAAGCACAAGATTATTATCTTTTGTATACGGTATAGAAACATACCGATTAAACACATAAATAGCAAATCTTTCGGAGATTCATAATAACTAATAAAATCAAATTCGATCTAAGTCCAGTTAGATTACTTACTACTACTACTTAGCACTATTCACTGAACATACAGATTTGTAAATCAACCGCTGTGCAACATGAAATAAATCTTCAATGTTTTACTTTGCAACGCATGAGACAGATAAGTGAAAACTTTAGAAACAAGCCAAAATAATATCACTGTGGACCTCGAGTTTCGATAAATGCAATGGTAATATATATATATATTTTCATGTTTAAAAAATGCAGTAATGGTATTAATAATGCCTCCCCGTATTTTAGAAAGATGCTATCTCAAATCGTTCGTGGACAGGATTTTTTCCTGCTGCTGATCACTTTTTAAATAATGTTTTCTTTTATTCGGTATTTTTAGACTATACCGTTATTTAAATCGTAAACCTTTGATTAGTTTAAAAAAAACAGCATAACTATCGCTCACGCTTGTTCTCTTAGACCAAGTGTGAATGCTATCTCGATCTACCTCACCGCCCACAATGCGCGTAGTCGTATCAAACCAGGACATGAATAGGCTATTGAAATCGTTTTCTCCTTTTTTATACCTCGGTGTAGTGGTCACTTGAAACACAATTCATGGCAGATTCAGCTTATCGTAGTCATTATGTACGACCCCACAGACAATAATTACCGTGATATTAGCATTTAAAGGGACTGCGGACGATTTAAAATAAAAGACGACCAATGGGCAACACTTAAAATGGGGAAATAATTATGTTGTTTATTTCAAGTAGAAGATTGGAATACAAAGTGAACTTTTGCGTGAGAAAAAAAGCTTCGATTAAAACCATGGAGGTTAGAAAGAAGGAGAACGATCGCTGTAGAAAATAGTGTCCCAGAAATATGGACAAAATAAGTGAGGCGCTGCGATCGCTAAGGTGTCTCAATAAAATCGGAATGTAGTGCGCTATTTTGAAATTTGTATATTATTCAATTAACTTCATCTACTTCTACTCATAAACAGCTAACTTCACAGATACTTCTTATCGAGGGCAGCGCGGCTGGTGGCTGAAAAATGAACTATAAATTCTACAAATTTTCAGGGACAGGCGGGCTAATGCTTTAGTACATAGCGATCGTTCTCCTTCTCTCTAACCTCCATGCTTAACACTTTGGGGAAAATAAAAAGTAAACGAAACAAGAATGATGGATATTTTTATGTGTACCAGTTCCCGTCTTAATAGCTTTTAATTTGACTGTTTGGGCATTTTAGTTACCACTGTATTGAGGCTTTATTTAGGAGGACGTGTTTTACTGAGGAAAAACCATAGCATTATACAACAGCTCATTTACCGTAAATTTTTAAGTTTTCTGTAATTTTACAGTACATACATAAAAATAAAGAATAAGTATTTTAAGTTATTAATTTTGACTGTAAACGATATTACTGATTACAATTGTTTATTTTGTTACACACATTCTTATTTTGTATTGTATTTTCTTTTATTATTTTTAGATTCTACCTATTTCCCAGTATTCTGTAAAATAAAATTTTCTTTCCTCCGAATATGATGATGATGTCAATTTCCACTTTGATTTAAAAGTGTGTACCAAAAACTACTTAACGTATTTGGTTAAAATTTGGTACTCATATAGTTTATGACCTGGATTGAGACTTAGGATAATTTTTATATCGGAAAAATTACACCAAACGTGTCATTTTTGAGGGGTTCTGAAAAACTAAAGTTAACGCCTACGCCTACGGGCGTCCGCAAGTATTATTACAAAGGCAAAAGTTTTTGAGTGTGTGAGTGAGTATGTTTGTTACTTCTTCGCGTCGAAACGGCTGGAGCGATTCTTATTAAATTTGGAGTGGAGTTAGCTGACACCCTGGATTAACACATAGGCTACGTTTTACTGCGGTAAAATATCCCTCCTAATAAACTGCGGGTAAAACCGTGAAGCACATCTAGTAATAATAATATTTCCCCTGTTCTGAATTATACGTACATTTAATGTGTGTTCTCCTTAACAAAATTGTCGCTCAGAAAAGTAAATATGTACCTACTTCTTTCGGTCGTTTTTAGATGCTGGATTGGTATGGCCGGTTGTAACAAAGTTTATTATACCCTTGGCGGTTGTCCAACGTTCGATTTGACGGTATGGATTCATTTGATTCGCCCTCTGGAGGGTTTTTGGGAGGAGTAGCGTTAAGTAATCCCGTTTCGGGGCTTGTAACATCTTGTGACATAAAACTGAAATGTCTGATCGTGATACTCAGTGGGTATTTATTTTTGATGAAAACTTTTTAGCTTAAGTCATTGGCGGTCAAAAGTACTTTATGAATCGGTCAACTACTGGGGCAATATTATGTTGATTTTAATTTCTTGTTAGTTACGTATACACTTAAGACTAAATTTTAATACGTAGGTACAACACATTTTTGTAAAGCACCGTCTATACTCATATTAAAAAAATAACAAGTTTTGTGTGAGTGTGTGAGGCTGTAGGGGTAATCTTTGGATCTACTAAACCGATTAAAAAAATATTTTACCAATAGAAAGCCACGTTTTGTTATGAATGTCATAAGTGGTTATTTTAGTTCTAGTATTTTTCTTAGGATTTTTTCATTGATAAAAAAATTGTATGATCGATCAGGAATATGAATCCTTTATAACTAAGTAACTACTACCCACACACAACAAAAACAAACCGTAAACGTAAAGATATTTAGACACCACATTTTTGCTTGAAATTTATAATAATGATGTATTTTTATTTCTTCTATTTGCTTGCAACATTGGAATATGCAAGAAACCGGCTGTCAAGGTATTTTTTATGTAATATCTCAGTGTTCGTATATACTCAGTGTTTGTGATTACTGATATTGTTACGAACGAGGAGCTCGATGGCGCAACTGGGTAGCGCGTTCGGCTGCGATCGTTGAAGGTAAGCAACTCTCGCAGTGGTCGGTCATTGGATGGGTGACCAAAAATTTACTATCTCGAGCTCCTCCGTGCTTCGGAAGGCACGTTAAGCCGTTGGTCCCGGTTGCATCTGCAGTCGTTAGCACCCACCAATCCGCACTGGGCCCGCGTGGTGGGTCATGGCCCAATCTCCCTATTCCATCCATATGGAAGGCCTGTGCCCCAGCAGTGGGGACATTAATAGGCTGATGATGATGATATTGTTAAGGGAAATTATGAAGAAACTGACATCACTGGATGGTAGTTTGGTTTTACCGTAGTGGAATAAAATTATATTTAACTAAGGCCGCATTTTTTCATTTATAGTTAAATTTAACTATAGTTAATGCCACGGCAGATACATAGTAAAAGTTTCAAACTTTGAAAGATGATTATTTTATTCTATAGGATTTAATTAAAATCAAATTTAAGTATCTATGAAACAACGCGGCCTAAGTAAAGACTAAGGCCCGTATTATACAAAGATTCTCAGTGATTGATCTAGTCTTGAGCATAGTTAGAAAGGGATGTCGCAATGTGCTCAACACTTCTTGTCATTCTGTAATACGAGCCTTAGTGTTAATCTTTACTTGAGTACAGTTAGAAAGAGATGTCGCTTTGTATAGCACATAGCGACTTCTTTTCTAATTGTACTCAACTCCACTCACCTTGTAGATGACATCAAATAACACTACTGGTGAAGCCGAATGCGGTAAAAGATATCTGGTGGGGTCGAAACCCCGGAGAGTGGACTGTAGGTGTTGGTTCGAAATATTAAGGAGGTTTGGTCTATGGGATAGGATGAGGACTAAACACTGTGCTTACTTACGGAGGGCCTCAACGGTGGCGCTGGCTCATACGCCGGCTTCTCCTGCACCAGTCTTTTCTTGATGCCAGCGGTTAAAGATAGCGGTCCGGAAAGTCGTTGTTGATAGCTATCACAAATCACACACGAAACCTTCTATTTGCGAGAAAATCTGTTCATTTAATTAAGATTGTATAATAATCTTCACACACTTCCTTAACTGAGTTTAATGCGGAAAATATAACACAATTGTTGCGGAGCGATGAAAAATTCGACCATTTCGTTATTTCGCGGTGACAGAACTTTCTTTCGTTGATGTGGTGACAGCCTGCTGACAGAGCAATTTTCTTCCGGCCATCCGTCGTTGCAGGCAAATATATTGCGTCTTCTTCCCTCATAAGCATAAGGCACAGTGTTTGAAGGAGAAGGATCTATTGGAATTCGGTTAGTTCGAAAAGAGAATGACACGGTATGAAATTTAGAGATTAGAATATGTTTTGGCGTTACCAACTACCTTTGGATGGTGTTTTGTTTCTAACTGCGAATAAAGTTAGCAAGCTTGCCAATCTCCGTGACATGACCATTAAAATTTAAAACAACACGCTGATTTACTTCTAGCAAGTCTTCGGCGAGAACTACGCGTCGTTGGGGCAATGTGGCTGCAACACGAGCACCATCCTGTCGCTTCTGCAGATAGCACCAGAGCTTCAAGGACCACCAGGTCCCCCCGGTCTGATGGGGGCGGACGGCCGCACCGGAGCACCAGGCATTACGGTAATCTACATAATAATATAACACTACCCTTCCATCGCGTCGCACTGTCGGGTAATAATGTATCTCTGTATTACATTATAACAGGATAACTACTTCCAATCTTTTTTGTAATTTTCTTATATTTTGTAGAAGGTTCTTACGGTTTTGTTAAGTAAGATCCGCAGAAAAACGAAAAAAAAAACGAGTGTGCTTATGACCACACAATTGAAGTGAAACTTCTTTAGCTCCATCTGTATGTATATATATGTGTGTGTACAATATATACATTTATTTAATATAAAAAATTCATTTACTAGTTATAAGAGAAAGAAAATGTGCGCACTGCTTTCTCTTGCTTATATCCCCCACTCAACTCCCGTTCGCCTCGCCCCTGCTGCTACTGCCACTAATGTGCCCACTGCCGGATACAGGTTTTCCTTGTGGATGGAATAGGGAGAGGTTTGTGTATTGGTGGGTGCTACAGACTTCAAATGCAGGCGGGACCAAAGGTTTCCATTCCTTCCAAAGCACGGGTTAGCTTGAAACAAGACGCATAACGCAAAATGTACTACTGCGTGTGGTTTGGGTACTGTGAATGTCGGTCATACTTGGTAGCATAATGCAATGGTCAGTACATCCGCCCGAATAGGGATGTCGAAAGTTAAAAAAAATATCAATATCGGCTTCGATATATCGCGAAAAAAACATCGATTTAACGGATCAATTTTCCCAAAAATATATTTCGGTCAGCCTAGCACAGTAATAATAACAATGCAAATTATAATTAAAGAAAGAATAATCACAGTACCAAATTGCCGCTACACTACATGACAGTACAGTATCTCACGAGAGATGACACGCGGAATAATAATGGAACGAAAATTATCTCCTTAAAAATAGACCCTATTTTCGAATGATGGAAATGATTGCAGGGCCTCTCAGATGCCATCTTTCGTAAACAAGACTAGACAGTCAAACACTTCCACAGAATATAATGGAATTCAGCACAACCAATTCACCAGCAAAACAGATTTACAAATTATACACAATACTAAATACAGCACAGATCATAGATATGTTGAATATCATTAATCTGAGATCCAGTTACGATTTTTTCAGATACGAATTTAGTTAGATCGTGATAATGCCGCTAATAATTAAAAAAAATATCGTTTTTGATACGAATTTCGATATTGGTTATTTTTGTATCGATGTATTGATATTATCGAATCAAAATATATCGGCTAAAATATTGATATATCGATACACCGATATATTTTCAACAAGTCCACGCCCGGATAGCGCAGGATGCGGGTTGGAGTCCCGTCTGCTGCATGGTTAATTGCTTAAAAATCAAAATTTAACTAATGTATGGCATGTCCAACCCTTATACATACCTTAAGTTATGACGGTGCATTAACTGAGATCACTCGTAAACTGCTTAGTGTACCACACTAGCTATTACTATATTTGAATTATGGTTTATCCGCGGTCAAGTAATAATTCGTTCGCAAACGCTTATTTATCAGAACAATAATTTTGTTTGAACGAAGGTCATACGTTATAATTGTATGTGTTTCAAAATTACCTATAGGTCTACAGGAGCACAAAAGACGACAACAACTGAAAAATAAACAGTCGTTTAAGATAACTGAAATTGTTTCTCTTTCACTTCTCTTTATCTTAAAGTTTTAACAACTGCCCACTCTAAAATAATTTGAAGAGCCTGTCTGTATTTATAAGCATTGCTATTGTTATGTAATGTTTTTGGCATTACCATTTCCAAAGAGTTTTCTTTAGTATCTATTCAGCTGAGACAATAAATCTAGCTACAACATTAAAAAGTTTAGGCCTTATTTAAACGCTACCTCCACAGACAAAAGATACAAGTGTTTCTCCCCAGGGTGATTCCATCGCAAAAGTACCTACTGGTTTCAAATCTCGGTAGGAGTATTTGTTTCTGTGATAGATAAGCACAAACATTTGTTTCCGAGCTACAGCGGTTTAGATAGTGATCTATGAACCAATTATAATATATATGATAAACTTACCATAGCTCTGTTTACTTTGGTACTAAGAAAACACACTAATATTATGAAGGCGAAAGTTTCTGCGTGTGTGTATGTTTGTTACTTCTTCACGTCTAAACGGCTGAAGCGATTTTAATAAAATTTGGTATAGAGTAAGCTGGCACCCTGGATTAACATATAGGCTACGTTTTACTGCGGGAAAATATCCCTAATAAACTGCGGGTAACATCGCGGGGCACAGCTAGTAAAATATAACTCTTATGAGCTTTCCTGAGTGTACTGTTAAAGAGCTTCTGTAGAAATTACTATCACCTTAATGAAATAACAATTCTTTTTGGAGGTGTTTTGATTCTGCTAGTGAGTGAGGTTCCACGGATTCCCACGGGAAGAATGGCTGTGGCGGCCATGATGTTCTTGTTTGCCACGCTTTTTGCTTAAAATGGACTTCCAGGGACATATATCATAAAATATAAAACCTATATTAAAAAGTTGCAATTTGTAACAGGGTCAAGCGGGTATGCCTGGCGAAAGAGGTGCCGTGGGGCCAAGAGGGGAAAAAGGGGACCGAGGTGACTCCGGTCCACGTGGGCCAGAAGGTCTCCCCGGGCCAAAAGGGGAAGCTGGCGTAGATGGAAGACCCGGTTCACCTGGCCCTCCGGGTCCACCCGGACCGCCGGGATCATCAGAATACAGCAATTTCGACGTAAGTAAAATAATGCTACTATAACATAAAAGATGTATTTTATTTAATTATTAGCAAATTAATGGGAATCGTAATTATAAAGAAACGATACACAGACTGGTTTTAAAAGCCTACTTTTAGTAAATTTGTTATTTAATTTATCACTTATCTTCAGTAACATTTAATCAAATATACATTAATCTCATTCATTAAAAATAGACGTAACGAATAAAATAATGCTTAGCTTTGCTTTCAGAAGCTAAGAGTGAAATCATTATTTATAATTTAATTTAGCCAAGCAATTGCCGTTATATCTTTCGTATTTTCAAAATGTCGCGCATAGTCTGACTGTAGTTAAGATATGATTCGAATTAGCTCAAAGCGAAACTGCGAAAATGCTCAAACATTGCATTCATTTATTTGCTTTTTGATATAAATAGTTTTTATTAGAAATGTTCATTGGTATAATAATTACATTATAACAACTCAAAGAAAGAATTATTAAAATTGGCGTAGGTACTTGTCACTCACAATTAAATCGTTCATCTGAGCTTGACATGAACAGGGCTGAAAACATGATAACATACATAATATTCAAAATATAGAAATAATACAAAGATATCTATAATATTTTTTGTCGTTATATTTATATATAACAAAACGTTTGCAGCTTATGCAAATTGTAAAGGTATTTGATATTATTGTATGTAATGTAGTAGGCTTAAAAGAAATATTTGTTATTATTCCTTATAATAATTATAAGAATTATTCAAGTATCATGCTGATGTGAGCCATAATAGATTTAATTTATCGCTTATGTACCTATAGTCCAGTAAATTGAAAAAGTAAATTGAATATCTACTTTCATTTGCTTATGCATTTTTGGTTAAATTTCTTAAGCCAAATGCGCCACTTTGTTCATTTCATACCTTAATTTCTGTCCATGTAGTCGAATTGGAAGCCTAGGCCAATATACAAGGTGAGTTCAAATTAAGTATATTCTTATCATCAATAGATATTTTATTATATTGAGAAGATGGTCATGCGGTACACTTCATGCTATCTTTTAAGTAGCACTATTAAAAATACTAAATATTCTATCTTTGTCATAAGTAACTAATCTAGAGAACTAGGTCTACTCTAATTCAACGAAAAACTAAATTTCCATTGAAACTTCTCACGTTTCTATTTTTCTTATTCGTTCCTAATTATAATAATATTAATTCGCCCGCAAATAGATTAAGGTTTAAATATAAAGAAAAAAAATACTAGAAAATATTCCACGCGGGCCAGGCAGCAGACGGGACAGGAGATAGATAAAGAGATGGCGCTGCCTTGCAGCTTATGGAAGGCTAGAGAAAATTCGACAAAACCATCAAGGCCGCGGTAGTATAATGGTCAGTGCATTCGCCCGGATAGCGAAGGGGGCTGGTTCGTGTCCCGTCTGCTGCCTAGTCCGCGTGGAATATTTTCTACTATTTTTTTTTTCTTTATATTTAAACCTTAAATCTATTTGCGGGCGAATTAATATTATTGTATAGTCCGCACGGTTTTTTTTCTAGTAATCAATTTTCTTTATATTTAAACATCTAGTAACTGCTAGAAGTGCTTAAAAAAATAGATTATGGTTTAGATTCTAAAAGCCTATTCAACGAAAAGTTTATCCTTCAAATTATAACCCCAAATTGATGAAATGATATTTCGTTTGAACTCATTCGGTTCCAAAAACTCGTTTCGGAGAAAGAGAGTAGACCCCCAGTTTTCTTTCCATATCCGCCTGCTTTGGATTTCTTTTTTAATTAAAAGGTCGTCCAAAATTACCTATCTCACTCTTGAACTGGTTTTCAAGTTTGTTTAAATTTATACCATTTTAAAGTATAAATGAAATTAAAAATACATTATAACCCAATTGAGTGCATTTAAATGTTTACGGAAATTTTGCAAGAATACATTTTCATTACGATTGAAGTAGTTCAAAAGCAGCCGGAACCACATATCTGATGTTGGTCTTGTTCACTTTTTTGAGAAACCTTACTTATTGATTTTTTGAGTAAGCTTACTATTTGAAATTTATTGACTTTGTCAAAAAAATGGCATTATGTCAATCTCCGGCGACTTTCTCATTGCGTGTTCGTTTGAAACGGCAAACACCTTTACCGAACAAACAAGCAGGATGGAAGTGACTGTTGAGCCTTGATTTATATCGTCACCGGTAGCGATAAAGAAATTTATTCAAAATGTCACAGGAAACTTTCGTAGTTGAGGATAGATTACTCACAACCTCGACCCCGATAGTTTGACTTGTTCTTTTAAGCCGAAAATTTAATGTTACTTAATTCAAAGTAATAGTGATGCCTCAAAATGAAATTGATTTAATTGTATTTTTTTTGTGAATTCTGATTTTGCTATAAATTGACCTTAAAAAGCATACTCCACAACCATGTAGAGATAAATAGACTGATCATTTAACGTCATTTTGCGAATGGGTGCTTATTACGTACCTACGTCAGTACTTTTTATATACTGTTAAGATCCTTCATTAAACTAAATTAAGTTAGTAGAATTTAGGTGTTTACAGTACTTTTCAGTTTGGCAGTGTAATAGACAGGTTCCCAACTTAAGTATCACGTTCAAATATCTAAATAAACATATTGTCATTTGTCGGATCTATCTATAAAATATGTATATGCATATATATATACACCGTGTTCCTGAGATTATACACTAACTTTGGCATGTTATTCAGACTATTAAATTGATAATTTTTTACTTTGGACACTTTTATGAATTCCAATTTTTTATCATTTTTTATTTTCATACAAACTAAATGCTTAGATGTAATTTATCTAATATGAATTACTCTTTACCTGAGCTGGCAACGTCGCAATTGAAACCTTGGTTCACATGTCCACATAAACTTTTTGAAACATTTCTTGACGTCAATAATGTTTTTTAAAATTTTGACTTTTGAAACTATGACTTAATGACCATTGACAAAAAGTTGATAGTTTGATATTTTTCGTTGCACAAAGTGGCAACATCTCACAGATAAAGACTCATTCTGACTGAACAACACAATTAAGTTGGTTAAACTGAACAACTTACCAATAACTTAAAAACTATGCTATTTAAACTACTACTTTCTTTGTACGATATGTTCAACAAGAGCAATAGAAGTACTATTCAAAGTTTATGTATATCCTCAGGAACACGATGTATATATTATATATATAAACATATATTAAATATTATAATTTGCTACCTATATATTTTTTTAAATTGTTTGTATTATAAATAATATTAAAAAAATAAAATAAAAAGATAACTATAAAAATCTATGTGTCCTTTTTAGCAATTTTTAAATGTTTCCGAGTTTTTACTACCGTTTTAATTACGGTGTTTTAATATTTTACTATTTTATTTCGTCCACTCAATTTAGAATTGTTTAGGAATAATTATTTATTTGAATCGCAAATGTGTTTAGCATGAAAACAAATGAAATAATTACGCAATGTTTTACCTGATTGGTAATCACTTTAATTAAACCTGTAATTGATCTATATTATCTAATCGGTACTAATTCTGGTATTAGATAATAATTCAGGAAAGTAAATAAATTATTATCGTTCAATTCTGCATGTCATTCTAAATAGCATGCTACATTTTAAATAAACTATTTTACAAACTATTTATTTATGCGTACTTTAAAGAAATACATGAGTATTTTTTTCGTTTTTTGTAGATATCTTAGTAATACTATAATTAAATTATTAAGATTTTTAATAAAATAACAGGAATCAATATTGGGTTCTTACGGTGGGGCTATTGGGAGACCTGGCGCACCCGGGCCAAAGGGCGATGCGGGGCAACCTGGCCCAATTGGGCCACATGGGGAACGAGGCTTCCCGGGTCATAAGGGTGAGAGGGGACCGCCAGGGCAGCATGGACCTAAGGGTGATCGAGTAAGTGAAAAGAACCATCGCTTGCATAAAATTCATTTAGCGAAAGTCTGTTTAATAACTATGAAGTAGAAATTGGCGTTTGTTTTATTTACTAAACAAAAATTTCGTACACATTATGTGGTTATGTATAATTCATATTATATAACAAAAAGTTGCTTTAAAACATTTTAAAATTTTGTCCTGTGTCCATCACCGTACCTTTATAATATTTCATTAGTGTCACTAATAAGTATTCGTAAAAGTAAAAGCGCTTAAATAATAAAAGAAAGAAACAAAGTATTATTTAGATAATCAGTAAATTGCGGTATTAGGAACTTACACATAGGTATACCTTGACTGATTTGGTTGGTTTGCTTAAATTGTTTTTATATTGCGAGGAGCTCGATGGCGTGGGTGGTTAGCGCGTTCGGTTACGATCGTTGATTTTAAGCAACTTTCGCAGTGGTCGGTTATTGGTTAGGTGACCAAAAATCTTCTATCTTGTGTTCCTCTGTGCGGCGGAAGGCACGTTAAGCCGTTGCTCCCAGTTGCATCTGCAGTTGTTAGTACTCGCCAATCCGCACTGGGCCCGTGTGGTTACGCGACTTACGTTACTTAGGGAGATTGGGCCATGACCAACCGGTCATGGCCCAATCTCCCTATTCCATCCATAGGGAAGGCCTATGCCCCAGCAGTGGGGACATAAATAGGATGATAATGATAATAATTGCACATGTAAATAGGTACTTATGTAAGACGTATTGTTCACACAGACATCTTCATTACATAATGTTCATCATTGTTGATATGGTGATGAGTCGAGTACGTTGGTGTTGTTGAAAATTGGTAGTTTTTATTTTAAAATTTGCATCAACACATTTACAGATTAGTATCAAATTCTATTCATGAGGAGCTTCGCTTATACAGTGCATGATATCTGTATACAGTGCAAGATATCTGTGTTACTCTTTGAGCTCTTTTATAAAGGTCTCAGCAAATTATTGATGATCTGTTGTTAATGTGTTAAAGCAAACTGGTATTTTATAGGGACATCCTGGCCCCCAAGGCGAACGGGGCTTGAAAGGGGAACATCTTTAAGCTCTTTATAATGATCTCATCAAATTATTGATGATTTGTTGTTGATGTGTTAAAGCAAACTGGTATTTTATAGGGACATCCCGGCCCCCAAGGCGACCGGGGGTTGAAAGGGGATCAAGGAACCCCTGGTCTGGAAGGCCGTCCCGGTATTCCTGGGGCAAACGGTCGACCAGCTGAGAAAGGTGAAAAAGGTTAGCACCATAATAAAAACTGCTATTCTGGATGGTAATTTTAGTTTCATCTTAAAAGCTTAATAATTATGTGAGACATGACATTTTGTCCGAATCTTATAAATGGATACAATTTGTCACTGATAATGCTTTAAGTACAAAGTAATGATAATGATACAAGTATTTGTGTATCCAATATAAGATATTTTATCTTATTGTTTACGAGACATGAGACGAGAATATTTGTTACTAAATCACACAAAAATGGATTTAGATCAAATTTATAAAAAAATCGGTCATCAAAAATTGTATCTTGGAATTATAACACACATAAAATATCATTAATAGGAAAAAAATATATAAAGGTGTCCGTGAGATCATTTATAAAGTAAATTTTGGACGTATCCACTTATAACTAAGCATACTTAGATGTTGCTTTTTTTATTTACACTAAAATAGACAACCTCCGTGGCTGATTTCCAAAGAGTCGCCTACTCAGAGGTCCTTTTCGGTTGGTCGGTTAAATATACTTATATTTTGTATCAGTATGTTATGCATTCTATCCGTTACCCTAGTTTTCCATAACACAAGCCGTGCTTACTTCGGGGCTAAAAAAACAAAACACTATCTTTCTCAGAGCTCATTTAACCGCAATCAGATTAGTAAAGAAAATAAAACAGAAAATGTGATTTTGAATAGTTTCAACTATCAATTACATTTATTGTGAGTTTTAAAAATCTACTGTTTTTTAGGGGAAAGGGGTTCCCCCGGTCCTCCAGGCCCACCATCTGTTTCTGGGGTTTTCAGTTCCGATGATCCTGAATTTTTACCCACTGGTAAGTGTATTTCTAACTTACTCGTAAGTACAGATCGCGTCAAACTTCTAGTCCGCTCTGAAGTTGCTTCGCGCAATTGTATAGTTCTAAACACAACCTTCGTCCTACTATACATCTATCTTTTGTTACTGTGGCGCGAATTATGCAATGTTCAGGGCAGACTAATATATTGGCATGAATTATAACAGTTGTGTTTTTTAAAATTGTGATGATACAGATATGATGAAATTTTAGCAAACTTTGTCATCATACCTCAATGGATTCTCTGCTTAATATTGCAGCATCCCCATGCTTTGCTATCTTACCAAAGAAATGGTGTAAAGCTATGTAGCATAATCTAATTGTTTTATTAATGTTTAGGTCGTCAAGCTGCACCAGGTTCAAAAGGCGATAAAGGAGAAAAGGTAAAATTTTTAAACGCTAGAAAAAATTTTTTTCAGTTTCATTAAATTCAATTTAATTAAATTATTTTTTCATTATTTCAATATTTTTTTCCATAAAGCAAATTGTTTTAATTCTGTGTTAACATAATTAACAATTTAGTTAAGGTAGGTACTATAATAGTAATTAGTGTAACCAATACGATATAATTTCAGATTATATTGAAAATATTTTCTTTTTTATGCAATTAATATCTTCAAAAACACAATGCCTTAACGTAGATATTGCATACAATAAAGCTTAAATGTTTTATACATATTACAAAATACAGCACTCAGTACAACAAATTAATATAATATTATCATAATTAAAATCTCATCTCAACTTTTGACGTTAGGTAAATTATGAAATATTTTTATAAAGAAATCGACAAAAATTACAAAGTTTATCTTCATAGTTTCGAAGTCTTTTGCCTCACTAACAATATTTTACGAGTATATTAAGATTTGCTATAAACTTTTATAATAAAATTATTTAGGGTGAAAAGGGAAATCGAGGCAGTGATGGCCCTCCAGGGTTCCCGGGCAAAGACGGCAAACCTGGTGAACGAGGGGACATTGGCCCGTCGGGGCTACCGGGAATAACGGGACCTCCTGGCACGCCCGGCTTAAAAGGAGAAAGGGGCGAAAGGGGTCCACCCGGACCTATCAGTTTGACATCACCCGGTTCAGATATAATATCAATAAAGGTAAGAAATTTTAATAAAATAAATATAACAAATAAATCCACTTTCTAACGTTCCCATTTTCATTAATGTCAATTATTTAAAAGGGTTCAATCCCACTCACATTAGGCATACAGTATAACCCGCTAAATTATAATATTTAAAATTAACAAAGTGTTCAGTCTTAAAGAAGGGTTTGTTTGTTTTTTTATGTTTTAATTGCATGGGTCATGGTCATTCTGTTAGGCAATGCAAGCGTACAGCATCTTGTCGAAGCAAGAAAGTGGGAGCAAGAGGCTGGTTATAAGGTAAACAATTCACCTGGTTCAGAGAATACCAGCGAGTCTCAACTCTCAACTTCACGCGCACATGCGGCTGGTTTAGAGGAATAATCAAATATGGTGTCTTGTATGTCCAAAAGATCTGCTAATAACCAAGTATTATTAGCAGCTCTTGTTAAAGCTGTTTCGACAAACGGTTCTATGTACATCGTGAGAACTTTGCTAGATCAAAGCTCACAAGCATTTTTTCCGAGGATACCGTCAAAAGTCTGGGTTTGAAGAAAAAATCCATCCGGGGTACAATATCTGAAATAAGTCTAATTTTAAATGGATTCTTTGCAGTGTTACAAATTTAATTTTTTGCAGAATGTTAATAAAAATCTCCTTGTAGAAAAGCTTTGTAAAACTAATTAAAATTTAAAAATTGTCTATTATAGTCGGAAGATTTTTGAAACCCAACACTAACCGCATAATTCACTCTTAATTATTATTGTGATCAGGGTGACAAAGGAGAATCAGGTCTCAGAGGTAGAAGAGGCAGGCCAGGACCTCAAGGCCCTCGAGGCTTACAAGGATTACCAGGAATACCGGGATCTCCAGGAAAACCAGGCGAAAAGGGTGAAATAGGCCTACCTGGTTGGATGGTAAGTTAGCTAATCAATTAAAAATACCTATCTATTTATTATATGGGTAACTATATTTCGTGAGTTGCAATACTCTTCTTATGGCCAAACTACACTTCTATTGCAATGTACGTAACATTAAGTGCACCATACCTTCATCAAGACTTCAGAATTTCGATTACAGGGAGCACTTTTAGTTAAATAATTAAATAAAATACCATTAAATGTCTATTAATGACAAAGCGACCACTTCGTCCATATATTAGTATGCGTAATCGTGACTTTGCAATAAAAATAATAATGATGTGGATAATGTATGTGTACACGCTATTCTTTGTATGTGGCCCCAGGATTATTAACATACGAAAATGAAGCATCAAATAATTATGTATAAAATTTTTAGTTTTAAACACCACACAATTACATTCGAAATTCGCAAATCAGAAACAAAAGCTTAAGTTCGATTTATTAATAAGATGGTCTTAATTTATAGACATGTATATAGATCACTCCCCTGAGGCGATACCTAATAAAGTCACTAAGGTATACCTGCTCCTTATTTTTTTTTAAATGCGTCTTTAAACGTAATTACAAAAGGCATTTTATATAATACTAGCTATCCCAGTGAACTTCGTACCACCATAAAAAAAATAGGGGTTGGTGGTAGAAGGGTGAAAATTAAGGTTGAATGTATTTTTGTATAATGTATCATAAAAAAATGCCCAAAAAAAAATTAAGCGTGGACCACCCCATAACATTTAGGGGGATGAAAAATTGATGTTGTCCGATTCTCAGACCTACTGAATATGCATATAAAATTTCACGAAAATCAGTCGAGCCGTTTTGGAGTAGTTCAATTATGCACACCGTGACACGAGAATTTTATATATTAGATGAAGACTGGTTTTCGCATAAAATTAGGTGCATACTCTACGCTACCAACTCGTTTTAAGCAGCCTTGAACCAAGGTCAAATCAAATCAAAACATGTCAAATATTATTTTCAACTAACTTTTTTAATAACATTACATGATGTGTGTGTTTGTTATCTAATATGATTATTATCATAGTACGGAATGATTGTTACCAAGATAAACAATAACGATTGTTACTTTATAGAGATTATAAAAAAATGGATGCTATAGCTAAGATGCAGAGGGTGAACAGGTATATAAATATTATTATTCAGAAGATTCTATTAGGTAAACATGTTTATAAATTTATATCTCTAGTTATCAACTTTTATTAAATAGGTCAATATTTACATTTATTTATAAACTAGGAATTTACACCCAAAGAAAGTGAAATATAAAATAACGAACAAAAGATGACAACAAAAACGAATTATATAATAAGAAATTATCATAAGAAACTTGATTCACGCAACGAATGTTATATTGATATATAAAGATGTAATTAATGATATTTGTTAACTTTTTTGGGTCATGACAAACAAATGAAGTCGTGGAGTTATAAGGATAGTCCTTTAAGAATTTCATTGTTCTAAGATAATGGGGATAACTCCACGACTTCATTTGTTTGTCATTACCCAACATAATCAAAATAATTGTGTTGAACACATTTATTCTAAACTAAAATCTTTTACACATCTAATAACCCCTTCATAAGACACTAAAAGAAAAAATCACATTTACCGTACCAGTCTTATTTTAAGTAACAGATTACTCTAAAGAAAATAATATAATATATCAAGCTGTTACATGCTTTAAAAAAAAATTATAACAGATTACTGTTGAAATTAAAGACTAATTGAAGTATCTTCGTACCTCGTCATACTACGGCCCTATAATTCTTTCCTTATCTTATCTTCTTACCTCATCTTAATTCTTCTGTGTTTTCCTCTCCTCTTTCTATGTTTATATTTTTAACACCTTTTTCACTCCTGGCAGTATCTCCAGCATCCTCGTTTCGAACGTGGTTGAGACATCTTAATCATCACTTTTTATGTTAGTCACGTACACACAATCGTTAAAAACGTCAACCTATAAAAGCAGTTATACATCCCAACAAAAAAAAATACGTGAGCAGATTAAATTTTATTTGACATTGATTTCAATTCACTGTCATAAACGTTTATTGTACCCATTGCCATTTGGCCATATGTCCAACTAATTTTCATTTAAAGTAGTCATATTACACTTAACAGCAATAACCAAATTAAAAAAATACTAATGCTTTCCGTTTTTGTTACGCTTTCTAAAGAATTCTAAGGTAAGCATAGTGTGTAGTAATAAGTTATGTCTACAATAATTTATTGTTGAAATTGAATCTGGAAACATGATTTTATATAAAGCCTATATAAAGATAAATTATATCTGTGACCATTTTGTTATTTTTAAATTGATGTTATTATTTCCATGTCTTTTTAATATGTATAAAAACTGTTATATCTACGAAATAGCGGAATTTCCTAATACAAGTAAAATACTTTGCTGATAAGGTAGCTCCAAATACCATAAAGTTATTATTAAGGTTTAAGAAAGTGAAATAAACAATTACAAACTACATTCATTTAAAATTTATCGTTAAAATCAGCCACATATAATTCATTTGCGTCTATTCATGGTAAATAATGTTTCCATACAGGGACGTCCAGGAACTTTAGGACCACCTGGAATTCCAGGTCCTGCAGGACCTAAAGGAGAAAAAGGAGATCCCGGCATCAATCTAATGGATATTGAAATGGTAAGTGTAGTTTAATATAAAAGTGGGTATATAAACGTATGAGTATCACTACAATAATATTTTATGAGATTAGCTGTAATAGACACAAACGCAACAAGTTACTTCATAGTCTTTATCTGTACTCAGGCAAACACAATGAGTTTTAACGTAAATGAAATCAAATAGGGGTAAAGCTCAACTGGGCCCTCGAGTTGACACTTCACAATCTCTTAGAGTCTCTATTAACGAAGTATTTTTCTCTCACTTCGCCGTCTGCTGCCTCAGCACGCTCGCTTGGTGCCCGCGTTATAGTCACACACAATAATAGCCCTTACTTATACTACTTACAACCTACCTTTATCTAATGTAAAGTGTCCTGGGCCCAGAAAGTACAGTTTAGCCCTATTTGGAGATAATCAACAACCTACAAACGCGGTGGAGTTCGCCTCTTGAATCTAAGTGGCAAACCGCCAACAAAGCCTTCTGACACAATACCGCAGGGGTCTGGCTCTGGGTTTTGCACACTACACGCAGCCGGCTCCACTGTGTATTTTTGCAGGACCGCCGCTATACCAGCCATTGCTTGCATCTGTCCCAACCTCGCGCCTGCAAATTTTAAAATAATCTCTCAATTCCACAAAACTTTAGCGAAAATTACACAGTCATATTCAATTCAAACCCTTTTTTGTGAAGAGGAATCCTATTACAAACGTAAAATAATTTTAACGAAAATATTTCTAATAAAAAAATATTAGACTTCTCTTGTTTGAACTTTGTATAACTGTTATCTTGATACCTATTAAAATTTACGGAATGTTATTTATGTGATAACTGTATGTTTATGATAATAACAGATAAAAAGATAGTACTTTATAAATAAAGAAAAAAAATAACAGGATAAAAAAACTTTCTATATATGCACACAAGTTTTCGTTTTATGTTTGTATTAATATAAAATAGAATAAATTCAAATATCTCCAGTAAATATCATCATTACTAATTGCATTCTCTCCTTAGAAAGCAAAGTGTATGTCTTTCGTTGTCACAACGATAAATAAAAGCCAAATGCGAGTCGAACTCGACACTATATCTTAATATCGAGCAAAAACGATAAAAAAATCACATCTGTTTTATTTATTTCATTTTAATTGGTAATTTTAAAGTGAATATAATTCTGTGAATATTTCAAGCATCTGACTGTTGCCGTTGTTAAGTATAGAGCAAAAAATCACATTTGTTGTATTGAAGCCCCCTTAAATATTTATTTTATTCTGTTTTTAGTATTTGTTATTATAGCGGCAACAGAAATAACTTCATCATCTGTAAAAATTTCAACTATCTAGCTAGATATAGGTTCATGAGATATAACCTGGTGACAGGCAAGTAGATAAGCGGACAGAGAGACAGACATACGGACAGATGGACAGTGGAATCTTAGAAATAGGGTACCGTTTTTTACTCTTTGGGTACGGAACGTTAAAAAATTCTAATAGGCGTTAATACGTGTTAAAACTACTACAATATCTAATATGACGTGTTGTCTAAAAAAATATACTTACCAACACAAGCCCTAGGTCCTTCTCCGAATGGCAAAAATACGAAATTTTTAATATCTTCTTTGGTCCCAAAGGTAAATCGTTCGGGATCGAATTTTTCCGGATCTCGGAAATATTTTTCATCCCTATGTATTGCTTGAATAGGAATCACAACTTTTACATCTTCATTGATAGTCAAGTCAAGTTCTGGGAACGTATACTCCTTAGACGTACACATCCTTATTAAAAATGCCACTGAGGGATATAATCTCATTGCCTCGTAGAACGCCATTTCTAAATAATTCATTTCTTTGATAGCATCATAAGTCAAAACATTGTTGTACTTTTCTAACACAGAATCAATTTCGTTCTGCACTTTTTCTTGACAATCTGGATTAAATGCTAATTGGTGTAAAGTGTAACTGGATGCTGTGGATGAAGTTTCAAAACCCGCACCAAAGAATACAAACATTTGGGCAGTCATTAATAATTCATTCAACTCCATTTTAATCATCACTGGATCTCCATTTGCTTCTTTTTTCTCTATAGATTCGCCGACCAAATCACCCTTTTCTTTTAGTTCAAGCATTAAGTCAATAAAATCATTTCTTCCAGAAGGTTTATAATCTCTTTCTTTGACAACAGATCGAAATAAGTATAACATAGTTGTTTCCAATTCTGGATCTAATAATCTTAAATGCTTGCATAGTTCTGGAAACATAATCTTAAGGGCAGCACAGACAGCATCTCGAAAGCTACGATGAAAAATTCTTTTACCAAGTCTTCTAAATTGAGAATTCTCATCACTTAGTGAATCCATATTAATACCAAAACCACATTCACCGATAAAATCTGTGGTATACCTCGCCATGAGTTCACGAGCATCATAATATTCTCTGCTCATGATTTCCTCAGTAATAAGTTGGAGTTTTCCCGCTGCCTTCGTGATGAGAGGAAACATCGCCTTGAGCTTGCCTGTACTAAAAGCAGGAGTGAATCTGTGTCTTATCAATCGCCAAAGGTCTCCATCGGCGAAAAAAATATTTTTCATGAGAGGTTCTATAACAGTCTTGTGAGGATTAAAACCTCTAGCGTAAAAATGATGAAAATCTGTAACCAACACTCGTTTCGCTAATTCTGGATCTCTAATAACTAATTCTGGGCTGGTCCCTTTGTAGTATCCAACAACTCTTTCGTTTGGAAACTTTCTGTAATGTTCCGTGGCCATCATTGCCATACTGGCTTTTTGAAGGAATTGTTTTAAATTGTTGCCTACAAATGGTAATGGTAGCTCGTGTTTAACACCTCTTTTCGTCCAATAATCAAACGTCCTTGTTCCATAATAATATAAACTTATAATAATTACTACAGCTAAAAATACGAAAATCATCGCGCGCACAAATATACAAAACTACTGAACACACGATATCATAGCCGAGAAGGCCGATGTAAACTAAGTTATCATAACCTGTTTACTGTGACGATCCGGTCAATTTATATTAATAGCTTTGTGACAGAAAAAATTATCTATCCTACACAATCATTATTATAATTCTACTAGTCTTTTAATGATTTCTGAACTGGCGTGTTGATTTTTACTTTAAATAAATCAAATACGCTTTAAATACTTTATTTTAAGCATTAATCTATTTGAATAAAGTCTTGGCAGCATTGCGGTTAGTGCATTCTCCTGGACTGCGGAAGACGCAAGTTCGAGTCCTGCCTGAAACCATGACCGAGTTGAATTTTTTCTAGTAATATTTTACTTTATATTATTTAAGTTCAAATGAATTGAAAAACTGGAACCCAATTATGACCTGCCAACTGCCTGGTGTAAACTTTAAAATATTCTAGTATGTAATTATTTATATACAAACTATTCGATATCTATAAATCATTTAATAAGTATACAACTCTTACACATATTTATAATTACGTACTTAGACGTAGTAATATTGAGAGAAAAGCATATTATCCTAAGCTATATTATGATGGTCACTCTTTTAAATATTAATTGTTTATAAGCCAGGGAATATTAAACATGAATGACTTTTAGTTATTCCGTGATTAATATAAATAAATATTTTACTTCTGTTATATAAATAATAAAAAAATAGAGAACTTTTATTTATTTGTCGAGTAGGTACATGTGAACTCTTTTTTTTATCTGATACGAAAATTAATAATCATAGATTAACTGATATTACGAGTTAAAGTGTGCTGATATTAATAATACACAAGCATAAGTAAGGTTTGTAACCTTATTGCATGGATTGTACCTATTAAAGTACTATTTTTTAGTTCGGAATAAGAATATTATCGAAATCGTTAAAAAAGGAAAATTTAGAAAATCAAAAAACCCGACTGCGTTAATATTACTTAAAATAAAAACTGAAAAGAAAAAAAACTACTCCAGTAGTCTATAATTCTGTTAAGTAAGGAACAAAGCTACTTTAACAGGGAACCATTAGATATACATGAATGGATCATTCAGTATTAGGTGTCTGCGCGTCGCGCTTCGCACTCTTGCATTGCGCAGTCAGGTAAAAAATACTACAGGATTTGTTCTTCTACTGTTAGATTTTCATGGATTTTTGTCCCCATTAAAGGCGGTTAAGCAGTACAAGAGTAGCAGACCAAAAATATACCGTTGATAAGTAAGAATGGATTGGAGGGTACAACAAAAATATTAGGTATTACATTTAGCTGACATTTAGTGGTTAGCAGGTGGTTAACATGAATACTTTCTTTACAGCTCAAAGGTGATAAAGGAGAACGCGGTTATGATGGTATCCCAGGTTTACCGGGCAGCAAAGGTCCCCCAGGCCCACCCGGGCCACCCGGGTCTTTATCCGAAACAGTGCGCTACATACCCGGTCCACCTGGACCCCCAGGTCCCCCGGGACCGCCGGGTCCCACTGGTGCCCCAGGAGCATCAATAGTGGGCCCCAAAGGAGAACCTGGGTCAAATTACCACGAAGAACACGTACATGGGAACACCAAACTTTATGGACGACCTGGTGAGTCCGTAATGAGATGGTTTTATTTATTTATTTATTTATTATATATTATCGTTGTTAGTAGGTATTTTAGCTTAATAATATAATCAAAATTATAGCTTGCATACAAAAAGGATTAACATAATACCCATTACTACCCGCGTACCTAAATAGGCGTATCTTTTGAATGAAGTGTACCCACAGATATTCTTATCTTACAAGCAACCCAACTCGAAAAAATATATAAAATTTGAGGATCTGCACGGCTGAATCCACTTCTTGAATTTTGTGATCATCTGTTTAGATAAGGCAACCCTAAAGGTTTACTTAAAAAAATATAAACGGAAGTTGGCCAAGGTTGGTCGTATGAATGATGAACATTTCCAACTATGTTTCTAAATGCATTAAGGTCTAAAATTTAAACAATTGATTGACGAACTTCGTTCAAATTATTTGTTTTTATTTCAATGCAGGCCCTCTGTTTTACCTGATAATTTAATTGTTTGAGATCAGGATCTGTAAACCATACTTTATAAATAGTATCAACGTAAATTCTCTTTACGCATTAAATGTAAATTTCACGCTGCCTGGCTTCAGCTACGAAGAGTCCAATTGAGCAGCTCAAGGCACTGAATAATGTGAAAGATCCCAAGGGAAAAGATAGAGGAGGTAAGTGGGTGGATCTATGAAAGAACTTATGTGTGCAAATTAGTAATAAAGCGTATAAGCGATTACTTGCGGTTTTAGTGTAATGTTTGCACATGAAAATGTGCTTCTACAAAAACTTAATTTATTTGATCTATAGCTAAAACTTAACAAACGTGAGTAGATTTGATTTTTTCTCCTGTTAAAATCAAATCCTTTAATTCACTAGCACAGAGGACAGAATGCTCCGCCTTTTGGCACAATTGTCGGTGGCCTTTTTGTCCGACAAAATAGATCGCTAACAACTGCACCGAGATACGCACACGACAGATTAAAAATACCGCGTGCAAAAAGTCCCCGAACAACCCAGGACATCTTGAGACCAGACAGTACAAAAGTCGCGGGTTTCCCCGAAAATAATTGTACTCATGTGACAACGCACACAGCGAATTTTAGTTCGCGTTGCACGCTCGATCCGATTTGGTGAGACGGACCCAGTATTCTCTTTTAAAATATATTCTCTTTCTTAAACTTTATGTTAATAGCGTGCGCTTTCCTAAATTTTCGGCGGACAAATGTCCGCACATCGTGTGCGTTGCGTTGAGTCCGCGACAAGTCTTCAGTGGACATTTTTTTTCATGATTCAGGGATTTTTATCCTCCGCGGACACAATGCCTTCGTCTGCGGGGGTCATTATGGTGAATATTACAATCATTGACCCCCTTATTAATAGACGAGGAATAAGCTTAGCCGTGTTTTGTTGGTATCACGCAAATGCCATTTGTCATTCAATGAACAGAGATAAAACATAGAGTAACTAATTCAAGCTTATTCTTGGTTTATTTATAAGGGGATGAGTGTCGTAAACACTAGATCAGCGTTCAACTAACACCAAAGTTCTTAAATCAAATTAAAAAGCTTATCAGTTTGACTAAAAACAATTGACAGATATTATGCAATGATCATGAAGGTGATATGCCTTCATGGCAATGATGCGTTAAACAATTAAACCTTCATTTGAATTAAGAATGTTGGTGCAGGCTCAGTTAAAAAACTTAATTTGTTATTCTTAATTTAAATTAATTATTTATCCACAAAATCTTGTATACGCAGTGTACACCCAAGCCAATCACGGCACAGCACACGCCGACGACTCGAACACAAGTAAAACTATGCCTGGTGCCGCCGTATTTCAGACTACGGAAGAAATGTTAAAGGTACATGAAAAAATCTGTTTCAAAAATAAGTTTTGCCTACTATAGGTCGCGGCAAAGTTCTTGAGCAGAACAATAGACAAGTAAAGTTGCGCAGTAGACGTTTTTGTATTTAAAATTGCCACTGCGTAGGCATCCTTGTCTATTGCCGTTGCTCAAGAAGTTTGTCGGGACGTGTATACATATAAAACAAATTGATAAATAATGTTTACGTGTTTAAACATCAGCCCGTAAACCCGTGTTTACTTATGTGTTTTCTTACATTTCGAATCGAGGCGTCAATTGAACATATTACTTGTCGAAAGGCCGTACTCGTAGACGTTTAATAAATTTAATGTCATTTGAAGTTACTATTTTAAGTGACAGTAAAACAGTTATAACTCTAATCAAAATTAAAAGTTAATTTATGGCCATAAGTGCCGCGCTGTCTTCTATTATTATGAAAGCGAAAGTTTGTAAGTTTGTTATTTAATCACGCAAAAACGGCTAGGCGGAATTGGATGAAATTATATACACAGTTTATAGTATTCCTTAAAGAAAATGATAGAGCTTTAATCAAACTAAAAAGTAATTAACTCCTCCATAGACTTAGAACGTCTCGTAAACATTACTATACAATATTTACTACATATAAGATTCTGTTCATGACTCTGTCAGAATACTCAGTTAAAGAATATACAGAATCAGTCGGTATAATCAATATACTTTAACAAAAAAAACACCAAATCGCATACGTAACAAAAATACATCATATTTCAAAATATACACAGATAAGCAAGCACGGGTGGAGTCTCTTTGCCTGCGACAATGTTGACTTTAATTTTAAAACTAAACTTGGTATTTAATGAGTTTTTTTTAGCTGGCATCGTCGAGCCCTGTCGGGTCACTCGCGTACGTGGTAGAAGAACAAGCTCTATTGGTGAAGGTCAACTCCGGATGGCAATATGTATCCGTAAGTACATTTTTTGATAATAACTAGCGGCCGCCCGCGACTTCGTACGCATGGAGTTTACTGCTCGTTCCCCGTAGGTGATAGCGTGATAATATGTAGCCTATATGTTGACCTGACTTCTTAATAATATACGTGCCAAATTTGAAGCAAATCCGTGCAGTACTTTTTGAGTTTATCCCGGACATACATACAGACAAACAGACAAAAATTCAAAAAGCTATATTTTTGGCTTCGGTATCGATTGTAGATCACACCCCAAGTATTCTATTAAAAAAATATTTAATATACAGTTTTGACTTTCCTACCATTTTATTATATGTTTAGATGTAGGAACCCCGTGCCCCTTATCGCCTGTCTCCAGTGATTCCTAATAGATATCGTATGCAAGAAGCTATAGCAAACCTAACCTTCCCACCTTCGTTATGTGAAGATAACTATAAATTAATGATTTGTGCCATTTGCTAAAATAATTCTAGTTTGCATTATTTTAAATAGTAATTTTTGGATTGGCATCTAAAGGCGAAGGAAATAATAGAAAGGAATGAATATTGATTTTTCTTGTCAAATTCTGTCATTTGTAGCGTTGCTGCTTGAATGTTATTTATTAAATATTCTTTTATTGTTCCCATGATAACATGAGCAAGTTTTCACTCTAGTTTTAAAATAATAACTCGAATTTGAGCTAAATTAGTATAGTTCCGTTGGTGCAGTCAAACCATAGGTTGTTTATTTATATAATTGCCAAATATATATTTATTGTTATAACATAACATATTAACACTTTAATGTGCTGATATAATATATCATCATATTATGATGACCAAGCAAATTTAATAATCCGAGTACATTTTGAGTTGAGGGTTATCTATTCATTCGTATTTTCCAATGTAGGACCGATTTTTCAATTCTCGTTTGGCAACATCAAAGTTATAAATGACATATGTACACAACTCTCAGTTTTGCTTGTATGATAATGATATCATCATCATTGATAATAATCAATGATATCACATATAAAACTTATTCATCTTTTATCATTATTATTTGTAGAATACATATTGTATTTGTTTATTATACAAATAATAATGATAAAAGACGAATAAGTTTTATCCTCAGGGATTGAAAAATCTGACTTTTTATTTTTAACTGGTATTACATTAAACTTGAGCTTGAGGTCGATGGCGCAAGTGGTTAGCGCGTTCGGCTGCGATCGTTGAAGTTACGCAACCATTGCAGTGGTCGGTCGTTGGATAGGTGACCAAAAATTTACTATCTCAAGCTCTTCCGTGCTTCGGAAGGCACATTAAGCCGTTGGTCCCGGCTGCATCTACAGTCGTAAGCACCCACCAATCCGCACAGGCCCGCGTGGTAGATCATGGCCAAAGCTCCTTGTTCCGTCTATAGGCAAGGCCTGTGCCCAAGCAGTGGGGACATTATTATGCTGATGATGATTATTTCATTAAACGTTTCTGTTGCAGCTGGGTTCCTTAGTAACGCACTCGGCACCGGCCGCTCCGACACCGCCCCCCGTGACGCCGCCGATGCCTGCAGCTAGTCTTGTACACGTCCCGCCTATCTCAAACCTTGTCGAAAACTCACCTGCATCTAATGTACCTAGCGTAAGAACCTTCTTTATTTGCCTTCTGTCATCCCCCAGCGACACTCAATGCCTGCAGCTAGTCTCGTGCACGTCCCACCTATCTCGAAATTGTCGATAACTCTACTGCGTTTAACGGACCTAGCGTCAGAACATTCTTTATTTGCCTTCTGTCATCCCCCAGCGATACTTAATGCCTGCAGCTAGTCTCGTGCACGTCCCGCCTATCTCGAACTTGTCGATAACTCATCTGCTTCCAACGGACCTAGTGTTAGAATCTTCTTTATTTGCCTTCTATCATCCTCCAGTGACAATAAATACATAATTATGTAGCTAATCTCGTATATGTGTCGCCTATCTCAATTCTTGTCGAAAACTCGCCTGTGGCTAACAAAGCTAGCGTAAGACGCTTCTTTATTTGCCTTCTATCATCCTCCAGCGACACCCACTGCCAGCAGCTAGTCTCGTTCACGACCCGCCTGTCTCGAAAACTCGCCTGTGACCAACGGACCTAGTGTGAGAACCTTCTTTATTTACCTTCTGTCATCCCCCAGCGATACTCAATGCCTGCAGCTAGTCTCGTGCACGTCCCGCCTATCTCGAACTTGTCGATAACTCATCTGCTTCCAACGGACCTAGTGTTAGAACCTTCTTTATTTGCCTTCTATCATCCTCCAGCGACACTAAATACATAATTATGTAGCTAATCTCGTATACGTGTCGCCTATCTCCATTCTTGTCGAAAACTCGCCTGTGGCTAACAAAGCTAGCGTAAGACGCTTCTTTATTTGCCTTCTATCATCCTCCAGCAACGCTCACAGCCTGCAGCTCGTCTCGTATACGTCCCGCCTATCTCGAACTTTTCGATAACTCACCTGCGTCTAACGGACCTAGCCTAAGAAACTTCTTTATTTCCCTTATCATCCTCCAGCAACACTTACTGCCTGAAGCTCCTCTCTAATACGTCCCGCCTATCTCGAACTTGTCGATAACTCACCTGCGTCTAACGGACCTAGCGAAAGAACCTTCTTTATTTGCGTCCAACGTACCTAGTGTAAGAACCTTCTTTATTTGCCTTCTGTCATCCTCCAGCGACACTCACTGCCTGCAGCTAGTCTCGTACACGTCTCGCGTATCTCGAACCTTGTCTAAATCTTGCTTGTGTCCAAGGGTCCTTGTGTAAGAACTTTTCTTTATTTGCCTTCTATCGTCCTCCAGTGACAATTAATGACTGCATTGAATATCTCAAACCTTATCGAAAACTCACCTGCGCCTAATGGACCTAGCGAGAGAACCTTCTTTAATTTCCTTCTATGCACCTTCTGAGAAAATTAACAATGAAAAATGGACGTTGTATTCTCAAGGTGTGAAACAGCTGCGGCCATCTTCAATCGCACTGGTAGACTAGTCACTGACCTCGCACCAGTTAGGTGGACGATATCTAACGAGTTATCGGAGTCCTCTGAGTACGGAAAGCGCGAGACAGTAGCGTGTGATGGTCCCTAGAATACATAAGTCTATCTCCAACAATGGAGGTCTAACGGTAATAGACAGATCATTGTTTGCCTAATTCATTCAAAACCAAATTATAGTACAGTCAATGTTATGAACTATTGCTCTTACTGCAATTTAATAAACGAGCTTTCATTGTCAAATTGTATTTACCAATCTGGTTCCGAGAAAACCTTATTATTTTCTGAATTTAAATTGGCATTACGAAGGTACTTGGACACTTTTTACAAATTATAATAGTTTTGTAACACTAAATTGATAGCCGGCGGGGCACAAGATTAAAAATGACGATGTCATTTATTTTTTGGTTATTTATGATTGATACTGTCTCATTCATATAATAAATTTGATGGGCACTAAAGCATTGAAATGTAAACGTTATAGAGAAATACACAATGGTTATTGTTATTCACATTATCTATGCTATGTTGTATATAATGCTATGTTTTGATTTAATTAAACTATTCGAAATCAGTCTTCCGCCAACTAAATTATTACATTCTCTGCGCTTAATTGACTGCAAGTTACACTAGAGTTTCATTCAAGCGTAGGTATACGACATAAGGGCGATAACTTGACTTCCTTTGTATAATTAAATCTGTGTTTATTACTTTGGGCAAGTTCACATTGCTTTATCCATAAATTTCCAATTGATTTATTGTTATCATTAACACAAACTTTTTTTTTATATATAAAAGATATGACTGCTTATTTTATCATATTAATGGAGCAAATTAATACAGCATAAGAAACTTATGTAATATCGAATATTCTAGGGAAGTTAAACTTACAGAAAGTTACAGTGAAATAACACTTACGATCACGGTAGGCAACGATCGAGTGATAATATTTTGAGCTACAAGCTATTAATAGACTTTACGGTGGTTGATCACTTTTTAGTAACATCAAAAAACCTACCATTCTTAATAAATCTCGGCGATTGTATGATAAGATCCAGAGATGTACAAAATGGTTTTAAAAAAGCATTTAAATACAAATGCAAAATACTTTTCAGATTTACTATTTCAAATGCAAAATACTAAATAGTTTTGCGTTTTGTATTTCAAATGCTAAATGCAAAATAGGTATTTTCGAAATACTTTTTCAAAATAAAATACCCCCTGACCAAATCACAGATATTTTTATTTATTATAGGTACATATTTACTTATCATACATGAGCAATAGAGACACACAATGCCGAGCCGAAAAACAAACGTCTAATAACATATTACATATGATTACACTTTTCTTATTAAAACTAATAACAACTGGAACTGGACTGGTATTGTTAAAAAGTGATAAAAATAAATATCATTGTTTATTTATTACGCTTTTTAACAATACCAGTTGTTCGAATACATCATCACTCATTTTTCTTCTGTGAGGTCTCATTATCATCCCACCATACGAAAAAAGTCTTTTTACTGGTGCTGAACTTGGTAAGGATGTGTTGTATTTAAAAAATACTTTTTTTACTGTAGGATAAGCATTTAGCATCTCCAGACTTGTGCTCTCATCCTTTAAATATTGCAGGGTTTCCAGATCTATTGTAGTATTATTAGCACTACCACCCTCACTGGTTGCCGAGGAATCTGAACCCTGGAACATGTAATAAGACTCGCTTTTTTCTCTTTTTCTTTCCGATGTCTGTGATAGAAGGCAGCTTTTTAAATTTCCTGACTTCTTGGATAAACAGCTCCCTAAGATGCTCCTTCTTATTTTTAGGCACCCATTTTAATTTGAAAAATGGATACGATATTGCTGCCAGAATGCTGTCCTTGGATCTTGGGTTATCTAAATCAAATTTTTCGAAACGATTTTGAATACTTTCCTTTATTATTTAAATTAACGGTGCGCAATAAACTGGACAGACTTCCGGTAGAAATTGTTAGACACCAGCCAAATCCACCAAGTCACGTCTATTTAGATTATCTAAATTATCTTGTAGTACGTAACCGTTCCAGGTATAGTGCATAACCGTTTCAGTATTATAGAAATAATAACAACACTTCAATATCAGAGAAGTTGGTAATCAAATCAGTAACTACTTCACTAGCACCAGAAAATAATAAACTCGTCGTGAAATCAAATCGTCGGTGTCAACGGCTATGCGTTTCATATCCATAAATTCATAGCCATAGATAATGTTCGCCGTTTTCGTTGGAAATTGACACTTGTCAGACATTACTTGACATAAGGCGCGCACTTTGACCAAAGAAGAAAAAATGTCACGCATGGTTAGCAGGCGCCTCTATCGGTCGAATTCGGCAATACAAGCGTTTTGTTTTGTTTGACTGGTAATGTTGGCTAAACTTAATCACAAAGTATTTTGTATTTTGAAATTAATATTAAAAATACAAAATGCATCTCGAAAGGCATTTCAAATAAAATACAAAATACTTTTCACTGAAAGGTATTTAAATACAAAATATAAAATAGGTATTTTGCATTTTCTATTTGCATTTAAAATAGAAGTATTTCAAATAAATCTCATCTCTGATAAGATCCAATGTCAAAACAATGCCCCAAAAATGTGAGAATGTCAAATATTATGACTTATTTTAATTATATACGAGCGATATAGGCATTATATAATTAAATTATTGCAACAGCTCCGAATGGCGGCTCTTAACGACCCACTCACTGGTGATATGCACGGTGTGCGACGGGCCAACTACGCGTGTTACAGGCAATCTAAAAGGGCTGGACTCAGAGGAACTTTCACAGCTTTCCTTACGAGCAGGTTAGTTATGATCATCTATATTAATAGTATAAAGAATATTTTATATAGTAATAGTAGTAATAGTATATTAAGAATTTGTTTGTTTGGTTGAACGCGCTAATCTCAGTAACTATTAATTCAAATTTTAAAAAAACATTGTGATAGATAGCCTATTTATCGAGAAAGGTTAGGTTATATAAGATCATGATAAGACTAATAGAAGCGTGGCATCAATGTAAAATGCGAAAACGGGAAGAAATATTCCTTTTTGTTGCTTGCGCTGTTTAAATGGTTAAAGATACACAAAAATCATATATGACAGAATTTTTCACCTTTAAAAGTTTTATAAAAATATAATATAATCATATATCGATCTTTTAAGTTTGACTCACTATATCCTTTTTCCTCAAATTAAACACATTCATCGACTGTTAGGCAACACGAAGTTCGCCGGGTCAGTTGGTATAATATATAATTTAAAAAATGCTCGCTCGCTCTATAAGCTTGGCCCGACTGCTTAGTCCAACCCATTTTTTATGAAGTAATAGGTTCCATAGTATAATTGCCTGAGAAATGTGTATTATAGTGTATTATACACCTTGCAGAAGATATAAAAATGGTAAAAATGTTTTTTTTTCATACTGCCATTTTTGGGTTTTTGGTTTCCAATAGTAGTCACTTACCATGTTGATGTGACCTTTTCGATACCAATAAAACTGTATCTAGTATTAGAAATATATAATATAAAAGAGATAATAACCTAAAGGATCTAAAATAAATAAATGCATACAGGCTGGAAGATGCTGTCAGGTAAACATAAGGAAATCTACCCAAATACGAGTCCGTTCATTTACACTTAGTCGTTTATCCGCATTCCATTGGCACTCGTATTCGGGCTGCTAACGAAAACTAAAGCGTTAAATTTGATTTATTGTTCTGATATCATGTTTTCAGAATCCAAAATTTGGATACGATCGTTCGTTACTCGGATAGGCACTTGCCAGTCGTGAATACACAAGGCGAGGTCTTGTTCAAATCCTTCTCGGACATGTTCGACGGAAACGGTGGGGTTATCGCCGGGGCACCGAGGATTTACAGCTTCAATGGCAGGAACATCATGACGGATTCTCACTGGTAAGAAATCATTACAATACAGCACATTTGTACTGATAGAAATTTAAAAAAGTCACGACATACAGTCGTGGATTATTATTGATTTCACTGGTGCACCGAGGATTTACGGCTTAACGGCAGAAATATCATGATGGGTTCTCACTGGTAAGAATCTTATACAACATAGCATATTTCTAGTGAAAAGCTTTTCAGACATTTTCGACGAAAACGGCGAAATTGTCTCCAGTGCATCGAGGATTTACAGCTTAATGGCAGAAATATCATAACAGATTTTCACTGGTAAGAACCTAATACAATATAGCATACTTCTAGTGAAATTCTTTTTGGATATGTTTGACGGAAACGACGGGACATCGCCCAAAATTTTGATCGCTAGTTTCTTCCCTGTGACACCCCGTCACAACAGTGAAGAAACAAGCGATCAAAATTTTCCCTAATTTCAATTCTACTTCGCGACCAAAGGAGCATCAATGCCGAATGGGCTGCAATGAGCAACAAGCGACCTAACACCGGGCTCCGCGGGGTCCTTCTTCGCTACGACAACGCACCCGCGCACTCTGCGATCAAAACGAAGGACTTCCTTGTCTCCACACCAGTCAGAGTCTTGGGACACCCTCCTTACAGTCCTGATTTGGCTCTGCGTGACTTCTTTTTATTCTCTAAAATAAAAAATCCACTCAAAGGGATACATTTTTCATCGCCGGAAGAAGCGCTAGCAGCGTTTGAGAAGGCCGTGGAAGAAGTGTCTGAGGAGGACTGTAAAATTTTTTTTGAAAATTGGTACATACGCATAAGACTTTGTAAAGGCTGATGGAGAGTTCTTTGAAAAGATTTTTTTTCATAGAAGTTAGTTTTTTAGTTTCTCAAAACTTTCTGAGTGCTCACGTATAGTCCTGGATTATTATTGATTGCTCTGGTTCACTAAGAATTAACAGCTTAACGGCAGAAACATCATGACTGATTCACACTGGTAATGACCATCATCATTAGCTTATTAATGTCTTCACTACAAGGGCATAGGCCTTTCCTATGCATGGGGTAGGAAGATTGGGCGATGACCCACTACGCGGGCCAAGTGCGTATTGGTGGGTGCTAACTACTGCAGATGCAGACGGGATCAACCGACTAACGTGCCTTTTGAAGCACGGAGGAGAGAAAAAGTTGCTGAACTTTCACGATAGCATGAAATTTGAGTGTTAAACAAACTACTATATCTAAAGAAAATATAACTAGAAAAAAATCCACGCGGACCAGGCAGCAGATGGGACTCGAACCCGCACCCTTCGCAATCCGGGCGAATGCACTGACCAATTATGCTACCGCGGCCCTCACGGACCGCGTCGAAATTCTTTCTAGCTATTCTTAAGCTGCAAGGCAGCGCCATCTCTTCGCATTATAGGTAAACCCACAATGTCAAATGAATACTTTTACAAGTATTAAACATTTGAAAGAAGAAATAGCAATTATAGTTATAATTTTTATTATTTTTAAAGCATGTAACTGCTTGATGTTTAAATCTAAAGAAAATATAACTAGAAAAAATTCCACGCGGACCAGGCAGCAGACGGGACTCGAACCCGCACCCTTCGCAATCCGGGCGAATGCACTGACCAATTATGCTACCGCGGCCCTCACGGACCGCGTCGAAATTCTTTCTAGCTATTCTTAAGCTGCAAGGCAGCGCCATCTCTTCGCATTATAGGTAAACCCACAATGTCAAATGAATACTTTTACAAGTATTAAACATTTGAAAGAAGAAATAGCAATTATAGTTATAATTTTTATTATTTTTAAAGCATGTAACTGCTTGATGTTTAAATTTAAAGAAAATATAACTAGAAAAAATTCCACGCGGACCAGGCAGCAGACGGGACTCGAACCCGCACCCTTCGCAATCCGGGCGAATGCACTGACCAATTCGAGTCCCGTCTGCTGCCTGGTCCGCGTGGAATTTTTTCTAGTTATATTTTCTTTAGATTTAAACATCAAGCAGTTACATGCTTTAAAAATAATAAAAATCAAACTACTATAGTTCATTTATTATTAAGAGTTTATGTTTTATGTTCTAAGGCCACAGAAGATGATATGGCATGGATCGCATGCAAGTGGAGAAAGAGCGCTAGATACTTTCTGTGATGAATGGCAGTCCAATGATTCGTCTCGACGAGGAATGGCGGCTTCACTTTATTCCCATAAACTACTGTCACAAGAAAGGTAAGTAACCCGGCAAACTTCTTGAGCAACAACCATAGATAAAGAAGCTTGCGCAGAAGCAATTTAACATACAAAAACGTCCACTGCGCAAGTTATTTTTCTCCATTAATATAAAACTAGATTTAAACCCTAGAAAAAATACAAATTTGGTACAGTCCAAAATTTTCAAACACGTACACAAAAACACAGAAAAAAATAGTAATATATAATTAAGTAATTTTGTTTATTTGTTTATTTTTCCCGTTCGCCACAATACAGGCATGTCCTAGTGTAAAAGCCGTAGGTAACTCTATTATAATTTCAATGTTGTAAACTTTAAATTGTTTAATATCATTGTAAACTTTATTTTTCAAAATAATATTATTATTATTTTGGTTTATTTTTTTCTCAGCTTGAGATTTTAAACAATCTGTACGGGCTGTGCCAAGTATCAGATTGAATCTATAGTTTATTCCTCACTTAAAAACTTTCTAACTATTCGACAACTATTTAAGATCGCTGCTTTTTGCATTGTGATGTATGTATATTTTGGGAGGTCTAATATTAGGAGGTCTTTATTATTATTATTGTTTACATAACATTTCGATATTTTTAAGGGTCAAAGGACAATGTTAAAATTGGCCTAAGAACCAACACCAATTTGGCATTTATGATAATTCTTAGTATATTTTTTTGCGTCAATTATCAGTATTTAGATTGTGACGGACACTTCCAGTTAAGTAAGCTAAATTAAAAAGTTGAAAAACAATCTGAGACAATAAATACCATTTTATGTGTATAATCTATGACAGCGCTACAAACAAAACACTCTTTCTTCCGAATGCCGGCACTTCACTTGGCTATTTGAATTTGCTATTTTAAAACATGACATCAGTCTGTCCCTTTCATTCCTTATTAAGCATGACAAGGACAAACTGTTGTCAAGTGAAGGGCCGGCTAAAAACTCGTTACTCTGTGGTTGTGGTGCAGGCAGTTTGCATTCGTAGTAATCTGTGGCATTCGTGCATTCCATATTCCAAAGAGTAGTTTAAAATAGGTACCGGAAAGTGCATTCTCGTTTCGGATTACCTGTTGAGTGTGTTTATTTGCGATTGTTTTTCCTTTAATTTAACTAGCTATTTCGGCTATCTAATATTCCATCGATGTTACCAAAGAGCAGAGCCCTTATTACCAAGTGCTAGTGAACCTGTGCCACAACATCCTGAGAGGATCATATTGCCAAATTATTCAAGAACACCTGATACACATTCACGCTGCATATTTACCCAATATACATGTGATATACAAATAAATACAATATGATACAATTATTTGAAAAATAATCAATAAATAAGAAGCAAAACTATAGTTTCTATTTTATTCCTTAAGTTTTTCCAAATATTTATTCTTTAAAATCGCATCGAATAAAATGAATTAATTGTAATATTAATTCACTTGATACTGAGTTCATACTAAGTTCATAGGTTGACCTATGTTTCATTGAATATTAAGCATAACCTCAAACAAATTTTAGTTTTCCTAATAATTTAAGTTCTCAGAAGTTTCCGTCAATCATCTTTATTTTTACAGTCATTTACTTACGATTTCGCACCTAGAAAATAATATTTCATGATTGTTGGTTCTTAGGCTAACTATATGGACGCTGAACAATGTCCTTTGATAGTACCCGTACACGTCACGACTTTAAGATTCTTTTTTCGTCAAGTTTATGTACGTCAGATTTAATATCTTCATTGAAAAGTAATACAGACTTTGTCCAAAATAGCCATTGAATAGTGGCATAAAGTCGCACTTACTGCAATTTCCTAATCTTAATTGTTACTAGGATTTTTAAAGGTTATATGGTTTTGTTAAGCTCATAAGGTCCTTCCTTACTACAGATATGGTTGCAATATTTATTTTTAATTCCATTAAGTTGCATTTTATGTTCTATACAGGCATACGTGCAATAACCACTTCATAGTTTTATGCATCGAAGCAACTTCTAATGGAAGTTTTAGAAAGAAAAGGGAGATTTCGAGGTAAGTCAATACAGAAATTTGGAACGAAATAAGTATTTAAAAAAAGAAGTTTGCAACATGATGGTTTCCGTAATTTTAAAAAATATTATTTCTGCTTTCAGTTACAATATGACTGGAATATTAGACGACGAAGACTACCTTTACAACGCTGAAGAGTATCAGCAACTATTAAACGAGATATTTGCTCAACCGTTCAGAGAGAACTAACTTAAATAAATTGTGGATGTAAAATGGAATGCTTCGAGCCATTCCGAAATTTAACTCGCTACATTAAAGTTAAATTTTCTGTGAAAGGCTTTTTGGCTTTGTGCACGCAGTAACACAGCCGAGTTGTAAGGCAATGAACGAAAGCATTTTTATTGTCATTTATTGGAAATGAGATTATTGATATTGAGGAAGCGATGCTTGATGTTCATGAGAGATTCCTATTATTTAAGCTCGGAAGCTTAAGCCATCGAAAGTTACTATAAATTTATGTATTATAACTTAATTGTAGATGTATGTACGTGAATTTTAGTTAGTCGTAATACATTTAATTAAAGTTGTACATATTTTAATGCACCACCAAATTTAATTGTAAGCCATTGAATTCTTCTACTAGGTATGCTATTATTTCGTTTGCATTATGTAAGTTAAACACAACAATAGTTAAATGAAAATATTTCATTAAAATAAGAAGTGTAACAGACAACTAGAAAAATATATTATTACCTATATTAATAAAATAAAGACTAATCATTTTTTGTTACAATTAAAATGCCATCCTTAGTTGTTTATTAGTATACGTTGATAATTCCAAAATTTTAAAAGGCCAGTACTTTTCTTTATTTATTTATTATTTTAAGTAGGTATTTTATTTTCATCTCATTTATTTATCCGAAAATTAAAAGGATTTTCATAGTAATCGTAATACTTATCTAAGGTAATTTTATGGTTATAATGAACGCAAATTAATAAAGGAAAATAATATACCTATACTTATATTATATTTAAATCGTAATTAATTTTGTTGATAAATGATTCCTTTTGCACTTGATCATCCTTATTATAGTATTTGATATTGTCTTTAACTTTGGAATTTGAACAATGATATACTTATGTTTCTGTTTAGAATTTATTCATATTCGCTTAGATGACGTTTATTTGAACAAACACTTTTGGATGAATTTACATATTTACCTTAACTTATTCACTTAGTCCAGCCTTTAGAACAATTTGTACCATTATTTACTTAAGTATAATATATTATGTAATGTCTTTTTAAAGTCTGATTGTTATTGAATAGCTTTTGAGATAGGAATTATACTTAATGTTTTGACCTCAATGCAGAAACGTAACGTATTTATAACAATTATTTTAAAAGGTCACGCTTTTGTGTACATTGAGTAGAGTGGACCTACAAATGATTTTTATTTTAAAATGTCTTTTGCAATTGAAGTATACTAACCTTAATTAACGTACCTATTATTCTTCCCAAATGTAAGATTTTCCATTTCAGAAACGCATCTACTAAAACTTTCAAGTCCTTTGAACTATTTTATTCATGGATTTTTAGTTCATAAGGATTGAGTTACATTTACTGTATAACTTACACTAGATCGAATATATTTTAATTCTGGCAAATGACATATTAAATGTCTATACTTTTCAATAAACAGTTTCTTTAAAATAGGAAAGGTCTGGTGAAAAGAACTAACAATTAGTAACACGCAGAGTATATAATTTTATTTATTGTTCTGACTATATTATTGATTTTTACTGTGATTGTACAAGCTAGAATCACTTGAAAGGTCCGTTTTTTAAATAGAACTGCAATAAAATAATGTATTTTTATTATTAATTTAAGGTATTTTCATAATTTAAGATAGCTTGAGTATTTTCTTTTTCACAATCGTATATGAGAACATTTTGCGGTATTTTTTAAATTTACAGACAAAATTGAGCGACTAAAAGACCAAAACTCAACATTTAAATTTTGGTTCCTTAGTTACCATACCTTGTGGTTGGTCATCTTAAATTTTGGAAGACTTTAGATGGATTTCAATATTTTGCTGAAATCTGAATAGCACAGATTAAGAAACTGTAGTTAAAGAAATATGTTTTTATATAGATGCAAATTAATACGTATCCGACGACATCAATATCTTTGTACATCTTATAAATCAGAGATAATTGGGATTTTACTATCGCGAAACTATCTATTAGATCTAATGATTTAAAATATGATAATCCTTAAAAGTAAATAAAAAAAAAACAATATCATACATAGTGTTTTTTTTTAAATAAATCTGTCAATAATATTTGTTTTGGAACAATAACTTGATATGGAATTAAGTTCGCTCTAAATCATCGTCTAGATTAGTGGTTTTCATATTTTAAATAATTGTCTACCTTGTAGTCAAATAATTATAGCGAATTAAGACACTTATAAGTATTTTTCTCTGTGGTGTACTTTGAGAACATTTTATTAACAAAGACTTTGGCTACATTGAAAGGTAAGTTTTTTTTTACCATTTAATATAAGTAAATATTAATTATAGTAACTAGTCACAAAATCTTAATTTTTTTTGTTTATAAAAGTGAGATATTGAAACACATGAATAATTTTGTCAAGAACAGTGAGTCGATAAGGTTGACTTTTTTATATTTTAATTTTATTACCTTAAATTATTTATTATAACAGGTACAAGATTGCATATCTACCACCGTATTTTAGTCTTCGAAATTAATAATTAAAATTGCGACTTAAAATATCGTTATAACATTTTTTTTTAAATATATCTATGTGTTTAAGTCATGAATTAATTTTATTTATCCTACTATAGTATCTCTAGAAATCACCCAAGTACTATATTTTATTTGTAAGAAACTCAAAATTAATAAAAACAGCTTTTTCATTTTATCCAAAAACACAATATGGTGGAGTAGTAGGTATGCTATAAGCTTTAATTAGGCGTTGCCTTTCAAATTCAAGGTGTGAAAAAATATCTATAACTATGTATTGAAACGTTCTTATGGTTTAATCAAGGAAGTATTTTTAATTTTATGCCATACTTGTAAAGACAATTATATTATAACCTTGTACTAACATGACATACCAACAAGCATTTACGAATGTATTTTAGAATAAGGGCTTACAACAACAAAATCATTAAACCTCGTGTAAAACGACTGTATTTGAACTTTAATAAGCAGCATAAATGTTTACACTTTAAATGGTTGTTTTCTTTCGAAACCAGCGTTTGTAATATTTATATAAAATAAATACATAAATATTTTCAACACTCACACCAATAAGCCTAGCCCCAAAGTAAGCACTGTAAGTAAGCTTGTGTTATGGGATACTAGAGTAACGGATAGAATACATATACTGTACATATATAAGTATATTTATATAGAAATACATATGAAACATCCATGACTGGAGTACAAATGCTCGTATTCATCACACAAACATCAGCCCGCACCGGAATTCAAACCCGGGGCCTCTGGAGTCGGCGACACCATGAAACCCGGCGTACAAACCACTCGGCTACGGAGGTCGTCATATAGTTAGCGTTTTTATGAGGAGCTCGATGGTGCAGATGGATAGTACATTAGGCCTTGGATCTTGGAATTTGAGCAACTTTTGCAATAGTCGGTCATTGGATGGGTGACCAAAAACTTATATCAAGCTCTTCCGTGCTTCCGATGGTATGTTAAGCTGCATCTGTAGTCGTTAGCACCCACCAATCCGCACTGGGCCCGCGTGGTGGGTCATAGCCATCTCCCTATTCAATCAACAGCAGTTGGGACATTAATAGGCATACCTTACTTAGACTTTTATTTTCCAGTTCCCTAAAAGATTTACCGATAGTAAGAGAATATTTTGACTTATTTGGCCAATATTTACTAAACTTTCTTCTATAGATACCAACAATTTATCGAGTACCTTTCAAGAGGCCACTATGCCCACATTTTACCACATTCTAATTTGTTTCCGATACAAGAAAATTAAAAAAAAATAGAAAGTAGTAGCGCGAATTCAGGGATTTTCACACAGAACAGAAAAAAAATAAGACTTACTAAATTCAATTCAGAATAGTGTTGTTTGCTTATTAGTTAATCGTAAACGTCAAGTTAAGGCAGAACAAAAACTACAACGAAATTGTGATTATTCTTGAAAAATTAAAGTCATCATCAGCAGCCCTGCTTTAGTGCTGATTGGTGAGTACTAACGACTACAGATGCAGCCGGGACTTACAGCTTAACGGCTCTTCCAAAACACGAGGAAGCTCGAGATAATGAGTTTTTAGTCACCCATCCAATGACTGACCATTGCAAAAGTGTCTTAACTTCCACGATCGTAGGCCAAACGTTCTATCCACCCGCGCCTTCGAACTCCATATTGAGCTCAATGTGGAGTGAAGGTGCTAACGACTTAACGTCCAATCCAAAGCAAAAAGGAGTTCGTCAAGGTTGTATAACTTAGCAGACTGAACGGGCCATTAACTTACGCCACCGAGGACCTCAATAAAGTTATTAAAACCATTGTACTTATTGTAAAAATACCTATTAAATTTTTGCTACCCGTAATATTTTAGATAAGTCTACTGAGAACAAAATTCCCAATTTGCTTTGGAGTAACTCAATGGGAATGAAAAAAAATTTCAAGTGCGAGTCAGACATTAGCAATCAATATTGAATACTGCTTTCACAAATTGATATAGATAGGAATCTAAAATCTTCAAAATCTTCAAAAAATTATAGGGAGTGGTCCATCGCCACAAAAGGCATGTATTCCTCGAATATTTTTAACGGTCCGAGCGAGTAGGTAGGCAACTATCTCTTTTTTGAGAAGTCTAGTAAAACCGGATTTACTCAAAACCAATATTAATTAACTTTACAAAAAAAGGCTACTATGAAGATCAAGGACCTGTGTATTGTTAATACATGATGCATCACTACCAGTAAATCCATATTATTTCTGTAACAATAGAGCTTTATTGAAAAGTGGGGCATATTTGTCAGTTTTTTTAAGTATTTATATTATCAGGATAAAGTTTGTATAACAGATTTTATTGGATGTTCCACAATTTCTTCATAGTAGGTATATTTCAACAGAGCGTAGGCAAATTGCGTCGCTATTAAAAGTTTTTTATAGACAAAGTTACGAATAAGTAGTCTGCGCGGAAATATAAGAAAGAATTAAGTATTTCCAATGGCTTTACCCTGAATTTAATTGTACTAAAGGTTTTTGATGAGCTCGTAAAACAAAAAGCAGGTTGGTTACCTACAACGCTTTATGTTAATGGAATCTATCACTTGGCTAAGTGGAATTAGGGTGCCTACTTTGTACGTAACTGAACCTACTGTATCCAAATATATCCGTGGCAAGGAACTTTAAAGGTTCATCGAGTTAAATATCACACCCTTCAATAGGTACACTTTCGTATTGGTTTCTTCGGGTTTTGTGAGTTTTCGGAACAGAAAACCACCTATTGTGACAGATTGGTGGTTTAAAAATAGCAGCTCCCACGGAATCGAAGGTACTAAACTTTATTTTAAGAACATCTTGCGATTTTGTTATTACGAAAAGTTTCGTAAAAACATAAAGTGTGTGTACTCACTCTAACTGAAAGTATCAAATCCATTTCCATTCATTGACTTTCACTAGTACGGAAACGATATGCTTACAACTTCATTGAAATCTCAAATTTAATTCACTTCTAATCTTCCTCAAGGTGCGTTTTCGAACAGACGTAGCAGCATCTTACGTTGCTAGTACCAAACCTACTAACCTCCAATAGGGATGACGACGGGGTAAAATAAAC